ATTCAGTGCAGTCAAATGCCCTGCAAATACCACTGCTCATGCACAACAAGGCAAAAGTCCCAGTCATCCTTTGAGTGATTAGAGTTGTATTGCATTTGATGGAATACAAGAAAAATTCTGAGTTTCAGAAGTCGGTATCTTTTATACATTAGGAATCTAGTCAAGAAGCTATGTTCAAGCGATGCAGCGAGATTGAAAACAGATTTCCTGGGGAGTCCTCCACATGAGTGCTATTTAAAACTTGGTTTTGAAATTCGTCCAATCATTCAGGCTTAAACCATTTCTTTCTCCTAGCGAGTTTTGAGAATGTTTTGATCTTTCTCATTCCTATTGCCGGAAGATCAGTCCCGTGTACTCAGGACAGGGCCTGTTGAGTCTCACGAGCTATAATCTCTCCACCAGATTATTCTTTACCTAACGCAGCTTCCCTCACATGTGTTCTTTTGCAGGAACATCTAAGGATGAAGGAAAGACATGCTTTCGTGAGACTTTCTTTGCTGACATTTCAGCATCACTTGGAACATTTAGTCATCTCTGCTCTGACCTCAAATTTGCTTTTTTGTCCGGCAGTCTTAACAGCTTTTTTCCATGTCCATAGGAAGATCAACTCTTGCCATGCTCCACACTGGGCAGATGAACTCCCTGCTAGAGGAGGACAGGTTTTTTTTTTTTAGAGGACCACAGATCTTCCTGCTTCCCCACAGGGTACCACCAGGGTGAAGGTACAGGGTGTCGATTCTTAGATACTAACTTTGCTAGTTCTCATGCTCCCTTCCACACTTACTTCTAATGAGTTGGGCAAGGACTCAGATGAGAATCAACTGCAGCTATGATTATTTCTCACACCCAGTCAATCCTGGGAGCAAGCTCCCTTGGGCTGAGGGACACATCTTGGGTAGGAGGTCTTTGCTAGCTGTTCAGCAGCTGAAGGAATCGAGGGCTCTGGCTGAAGGGTGGCTGTAGATGTGATAATACAGCACTCAGGACAGGGGTCTGATGTGTATGCAAGAGACTTACATAGCTGGAGAAAAGGGATAGGGATCTTTCTGTTGGGAGGGGGAAATGAGATGTCCTTAAGAGCTCAGAAGACAGGCTCTAGAAAGGCATAGGAAAGTGGTCAGGACATGAAAAGAGGAGGAAGGAAAGGGGCTTGTTGAATGGTCTTGAATACTTCTTGAATCTTGTAAAATGTACTTTATCATATTCTGAACTAAGTATCCTGTTGTCAATATGTGACATATCTTACATGGTTTTCACTGATACAATGACACAGGACCCACTTGTAAACCTAGTGAATAATAATCTGGCTGAGGATCATTTTGTCACATTTGCTCTTACGTATTTTTATTTTCTGATGCTCATAGGAACATTAGGTGTTGTAATTTGAGTGGTGGGGCTGCGTCCCCGGCACCCGGCCGCCCACATGGTTAGCTTATGCCCCGAAATAATTACATGGAAACTGTATTCTTTTAAACACTGCCTGGCCCATTAGTTCCAGTCTCTTATTGGCTAGCTCTTACATATTGATCTAACCCATTTCTAATATCCCTGTAACACTACGAGGTGTCTTACCAGGGAAGATCTTAACCTGCGTCTGTGTCCGGTAGGAGAATCATGGCGACTCCTTGACTCAGCTTCTTCCTCCCAGCATTCTGTTCTGTTTACTCTGCCTACCTAATTTTATGTCCTATTAATGGGCCAAGGCAGTCTCTTTATTTAACCAATGAAATTAACACAAAACAGAAGACTCTCCCCCATCAATTAGGATAATTTTTTTTGACTTTCTGGACTTTGATTAACATGAGATAATAATCACCAGTCTGAAAATAAGGTAAAATCTATGTGCAGAGCAAGATTTAGGGCTCTGAAAGCCAGTTTGCTGGTGACATGTTCTCTATCTTTTTAGGACCATGTGCCACAGAGAGTCATGAGTCATTACAGAGGAAACACACCAGCTATCCCATTGACACCGACTTTTCAGTGAGTGTGAATACAGAACAGGGAAGCATCCTGTGAGGTTTGGACAATGGAAATTTGTTTCTAAGGTGACTGCTATCAAAACTGAAGGAGTGTGCTAATTTAATTAATTAATAAATAATTAATTTATTGGAATCCTTCACTTTGAAATGAGAATGAAAAGAGAAGTGGCCACAGGGCTTGCTTATGCATGAATAAAGAGACAGAGCCAGGCCTAACATTAATATATACTTATTCTGTATTAGGTGTCTGGGGCTCATTTTTGGGCTTTTTTTTTTTAATCTGCAGAACTGGGGAATTTCTATTAGTTAAAAAAAACTGAGTTTATTTTGAGGAATTGATTTTTTTTAAAGTCAAGTTTAGGGAAATTTATTTATTTATTTATTTAAGATTTCTGCCTCCTCCACGATTGCTCTTCGGGCTGACGAGGGAGGGGGACTTGACTGGGGGAGGGGGAGGGAATTGAGGAATTGATTTAAGACCAATTTATTTAAAGATGAAAAAGAATACAAGTAAGATTCAGTGTCTTGGTAATTCAGAATCAGGTCACTGCTTTATGGTGCATCATCCTCTGCAAGGCTTTGGGGTAGCAAATTCCCAGACAGCTCAGTGCATCCCTAGGCAGAGTGTAAGAATCACGTGGATCCAACACTGCACTCAAGCCCTTTCTGTGTTTATCTCAGAAGGCTTCATGAGGCTCAGAAGCACGTATCAAAAACAAACGCATCTTGCTTGGCTTGGAAGCAGGTGCTGTGCTGTCTGCGACTGGACAGACACACAGATACAAAACATTTGTCTGCCCTGAAGTCTGCTTACACATATGAGTTCCAGTTAGGACATATAAACAAGCATGATCTAATTGATACTGGCGATTAATCCCTGGTGATGACTGAGGCCAGCCAGAAAGCACATGTGGAAGACTTAACTGTCTCATTTTAAATTCAACATCTTGAGGGAAATAGAAATCCAGCATTGCCAAATGTCCTGATGTTTTTTTTTTTTTTTTTTTTTTTTTGACAGCCTCCAGAAAGCTAGAATTCTATCTATGTAAATGCACCTGACATAGATGTGTTCATATATAATTTTAAAAATACTCTGTGGAGATAAGACACAAGGGTTGGGTTTCGTCACTTCCCCGCATATTTGATGTAGCTAGAGTGATGAAAGAAGGGAGGAGTAAGGAGCCGGAGATGGTCCGGGGCCTGTTTCGAAGTCTTTTGCGAAAGAGATCTTCACTCTTTCTCGAGTATTTAAATTTCTTTTATAAACCATGTCAGGAGCAAAACGCAGTAAAACCCTTTGCCATACTAATAATTGTGGTGCAAAGACAGGATGGCATTAGCCTAGGTGGAGAGGCTTTACTGTGCTCATTTCCTGGGAACTCCTTGGAGGGCTCCTTCTCAGATCTGGGCGGCCACCTGTTGCCAACAGTTTCTGTAGAATACGGCTGGTAGCTGGTTGGAAAGAGCAGGAGGACTCGGACCTCGTAGGCAAGGCTGAGGGTAGAAACACATCAACAACACAATCTTCCTGGGTTTCCTCAGCAGCAATAACTCAGGCAGTTTAACAACTTAAGCGGAGGAAATTAAACATCAGACACCAAGCCAACAGGAGCCAGAATGGTACCGGATGCGACTTTTAGAGCCAGAGTTCAGCTTAACACTGGGTGGTTTTAAAGTAGTAGGCTGAATCTGAGTACAGAGAACTTAGATTTGACTTGAAAAGTCAGAGTTCTCACTCAAAATATCATCTTGTCCCTTCTGGGTTCATGAAATCTAAAGCTTTCTTCCAATGCCTATCTTCTCTGCTTGCTCTCTTGTGCTGACAATGGCTAATAAGACTAGTGTAGCCAAAGGCTGACGGAGCCCAACTATGATCCCCTTATTGAGCCACCCAAGACTCTGGAACAGCTGTCAGAGGCGACTGTATGCTGCTATTCACTAGCTTGCCTTCCCCAGCTGGAGGCAGGCCCACGGACTCCACTGCAGCTGAGGCCGGATGGGCATGTGGTCATAGGCTACGGAGTAAAACGGGTCAGTCACCACCAAACCTCACTGATGGTCATTCACAGTTTAAGAGAGGCACACTGGTGAGAATAGACATAGCGCTGCAACTGTAATGTGCCTTGAGTCTCGGGGACCATAACACTCACGACTGTTTCTCTCTGACAGTATGTGCACTAGGAGACTATGTGGGTATGTGCATGTCTGGCTCTGTGTGGTTACCTAAAGACCTGGCATGATTTTAGGTCCTTTCCTTTTTGATTAATTAAATTTATTTATTTATATTGAGCGCTACAATTTTCTCTGCTCTCCTCCCTGCCTCTCGCCTCCCCTTCAACCCTCTCCCGTGGTCCCCATGCTCCCAATTTACTCAGGAGATGATTTCAGGTTCTTTCTTTGTGTACTTTGAAGAGCTATTTCAGGGAAAGGATGAGGCACAGCTACCCACTGGATTTTCTGAGTCTAACTAAACTGATTTTGATCAGCGGTTCATATTTCCCCTTTCAGTGGTTACAGCAAATCACATGTCTGTGCTAACTCCAAATAGGCAGCAAAGTACAGCCCTACCACAAGTTTGTGAGGTACGGTAATAGAAGATGTGTGGATGGCCACCACAGTCATCAATATTCGGGTTCAGATTTCCTTCAAATCATTCTAATAGCCTATACTTAGAAATCTTCAATGGGTCTAATTCATCTTTAGAGGATCCTACAAGCTGAGGCTTGGGTCCATCGTTTGGTAAAGCATTAAAAGAATAGAGTTCGGATGGTTTGATAGTCATCCAATAAACCAGTCCCAGAAGTAACTTGACCACCTCTCCGGTGTTCATGCTGACTCCTCCCTTGCTAAATAGCTGGAGGTGACCTTAAACTTGCCATCCTCTGATCTGTGTCTCCTGCATGTTGGGATAGCAGATGTCACTGCCGTATCTGGTTTGTGCAATGTTGAGGCTTGAACCCAGGTCTTTGGGCAGGCCAAGCAAACACTCTACCACCCCCACTCTCGAAAGGAAATCAAGCACAAAGTAACTGTAATTTTATTTATATTAACAACAGCAAAATACTTTTATAATTTCACATACCATTGCTTTTAAAAGCACATATATTACAAATAAAGGAACTTCACAAACTTTAAAGATTAGTATTTATCAACACTTTTTTACACATACACAAATATTTTAATATAACATTATCTGAAACGTTACTCATATAATTTTAGTACTTTCATAAGTATCAACTAAAAACATTCTTCTGAAATTTGATAAAAACCATATATTTTACAATTTTCTATTTACATGTGAAATATGCTTAAATGTTACAAAACATTCATTTTGACCTTGAAAATATGTGTGCTAGGACCTGGGATTGAACAAATTATACCCAAGAGCAAACTCAATTTGCTTTTAAGCTGCACGTTCGTTGGAACGTGTTCAGTGTGTTTTGTGTGTTTGATCAATACCACTCAGAGGAAACAAAGGAATCCTAGGAAATGTGCAAATTCAGAGGCTGGCAAAATTCTCAAGCTAGCGAGGCAAACAAAAATATTAACACTGTAAAAACATCAAATAAATTAAATCTATCTTTTTTTCTTCCCCGAGATTAGCTGCAAAAGTTCAGAGAGTTCTCTGAGAGGTGCGTCGGATCCCCTAGGGCTCCTCTCAGACTTCAGCACTGGGTGAGATGGACACCAGAGGCACAGCCGGGGTCACCTTGCTAGTTGCACGCATGTAGGGGCGCTCCAGTCCGCGCTTTGCTGGGTCGTCCCTGCCCGTAATCTTCAAGCAAGACAGATACAACATATGCATATAAAATAAAAGAGATCAATTTTCATATCCTCAAACACAGAGTTAAAACCCTGAACAGTGACTCATTCCCAATGGGGTGTTAGTAAGTTTGGAAAATATCCTAGTCAAAGTAGTTCTGAGGGATATTTTCTTGGAAGCCCATATGCCGGTTGCCAATGGGGATGCTGAAAGCAGCTTCACTATATTCCTTGACTGTCAGATATGAATTTATAAATGTTTAAGTGGCTACAAATGTATTTGAGAAATCCCAGTGTCTCATTCTAGCTTAAAAATTTGTAATTTACATTGCTGACATTTACCCTAAAGGGGATGAACTCAAACGTTTGCATTAATGGGAGTATAATAAAATCAATATGACTAATCTGAAAATGATATCAATATATCTAAATGATATGGTGTTCAACTCTATCAAAATGATCATATGCAATCAGTAACCCACAGCCCCACAGAAACTGCAGATGTCACCTTTGAAGTTCATCTTTGTACAAAGAGATTTGATGAGTATTTTGAATTTCTAGTTGTGATTTCTTCACTTACCTCACACACTGTCACGCTGTGCTGATTTATATGTGTGTGATATTAGCTTCTCCTCTCCTCCAGGAGCTTGTTGCACTCAGCATGGGAGGGTCACGGGCTTGCAGCACACCCTCCTGAGGGCCAGCATTATGAGACCCTGCGCACATAATTTGGTTCTTTATGCGTTTAGCATGTGTCTGAGTCTCTAACAGCAAGATTGTGTTCACAGCTCGCTTTCTTGGCATCAGAGCAGAATGGCTCTGGTCCCAGGGCTGTGTTTTAAGTTGGATACTCATGACCACAGCTGACTTCATTCTGCCTCCATTCTTGCTCAGTGAAAACCCACTCCAAAAGAGCATCTTATATTTATTCTTCATTTGCATGCTGTGTGAATTCTATTGGCCCCAGCCAAAGAAAGTTCTTTATGGTTTTGGTTTTTTGGCTGTTTATGAAACAGTGTGAAATTCTGGCTGCTGATTAAAGAAATGGTTGCCTGCCACTACCAGTTCAAATTACTTGTTTCCCACGTCTCCATTTTACACACCAGCTTCACTCAATCTGGGGTTCTGTTTCCTCTCTTTCTTTTTAAAAAATGTGTGGGTGCACGTATGTGCACGGGTGCACACATGACACAGTGCGTGTGTGAAAGCCAGAAGGCAGCCGTGGAAGTCAGGTTCTACCATTTTGGCCCCAGAGGCAGACTTGGGGGCAAGACACCTCCTCACCCAGTGAGCCATCCCACTGGCTTCCACTTATTTTCTTCTTAAGGGAAACCTCACTTATCTTACACTGGTCTGAAGCTCACCGCGTAGCTGATGATAATACTGAACTACTCTGGTCCTCGCAGTTGAGATTACGGGTGTGTGTTATGTTCATGGTCCAATTTTCCCTTATGTTGAGGGTTTTCCCTTAATGAATTTTTTTTAAGCTAAGACTTTTCTTGGCCCCATGTGGGTGCATATGGCGTAATTAATTTTGTGTTTCTATTTCTAAGTCAGTTGATTCTAATTGCTTCTGATTTTCAAAGCTCAGCTGGTAAGTTCTCTCACCACTTAATATCCGTGGACCTTCTTCTGGAGGATACACGTTCACACTCAGACAAAGGGAGACAGTCCCGCATCTAGTCACCTGTGTGACCAGGCCCTGTTATAAGCTCAGGACCAGCAGAAAGGCCACCTTTCCTTCCAACAGACCTATTTCTTTTACTGACTATGAGCGGTGAGACCCACAGGTTTTACTCTTTGATCATTTCCAGGAAGCAGAGAGCCAATGTTTACTTCTTTTGTTACAGGTTTCTTTTACAAAAAAAAAAAAAAAATTCTCTCCTCTTCACTAACTGGTCTTTGTAATTTTTTTTTTCATATTTTCAAGTATCATGAGAACCCTTCAGTTTTAGAAGGTAAAGGAGCATGGGCTTTTTTCTTTCAAAGCCAAGCTGTTAATATGATATGTCTTAGAGCGGCAATGAGGACTTAGAGAAGCTGAGCCACAAAAGCTGATGGGGCGAAGGACTGGTGAGGAGGAGGTGGGTGGACATAAGGCTGCAGGACAGGAGAGATGTACGGCAAGAAGAACATACCACTTTTGCTCACAGTACTGAGAGAAATGCTAGACACAGAGGAGCAGAAGCTGTAGAGACACGGACCTCGACAGAGCTGCCGGAAAAAAAAAGAGAGAAACATTTCTGCCAGACGTTTCAAGGCCAGGCGTGATTTACAGTGAGAGGAAAGTATGGCTTCACCGTGGTTACCAACTTTGACATGCATTCTCTTCATTTTAATCCCAGATTTAGTAATGCCTCTCCTATGTGCTCAAGCCCCCTCTGGAGTATTTAACTACCATCTCCCCTCAGAAATCTCAAACTGACATGATCTCTGTTGGGAATTCTATCTATGGAGATTCATTCTTTCCGTCATAAGCCAACTTACCATTTTGTCTCCTTAAGCTACTGTGGAGACCTAAAAGGGCCGGTGATGAGGCCAGGAAAGAAAGACTGTATGCTACAAGCAATTAAAATCACAGTTCCAGTGTTTGACCTGCTCTGTGGTAATGATCATTACCACATTAGATCATTAGGGAGAGGGGAGGGACCGGATATGAAACCAGCAGTAACATAGTACTGGGAAGGTTACAGGAGGTGAGGTACCCAAGTAGAGTGTGAGGGAAGATGACGTTGCAAAGCAGGCTAGGTAGGGTCGCTTGACTTACAACTGAGTTCTTTTAGCTATTCCAAAATACTGACGTTATTGAATGTTCATAGTTCATGCAAGCCATGCAGAATGTGGTGAATACATACCCAGGATGATTAATGACTTGATCATGGAGTAGAGTTTGATATATATCATATTATCACACACACACACACACACACACACACACACACACACACACCCTTTTCTCCTAATTGTGAACCTCTGCTTCTGCCAAGGAAGTCTTGAGGTAAAAGGCCCATGAGAAATCCTGAGGTTCTCTCTGAGCACAGTGCAAATCTCCTTCTGGCAAAATGTGAAATGTCTTCCCATATCCTAAGTATTGTGACATCCTCACAATACCTGTTGGCAGCGGGCCAAAATGGGGATTCCTACCTTGTGTTTCTCAGTGTCTGAACAGACCCGAATATTCTAGAGTCAACAGACTGTATGGCTTGGGTAAATACCTCTAGAATTGTGGAGAGCATTTCAGTTCTATTCTTTCTTCTGTAGGTGTTTCTGTGCTTTGAGATAAGAACTGTTTACGGGGGAGAAAACAACTCAGCATCATAGTGTTGAGGTACAGAATAGTGACTTTTGGGAAGTGGAAAAATACAAGATCTCCTGAGTAAATTGGGAGCATGGGGACCTTAGGAGAGGGTTGAAGGGGAGAGGAGAGGCAGGGAGGGGAGCAGAGAAAAATGTAGAGCTCAATAAAAATCAATTTAAAGAAAGAATAGTGACTTTTGCAGTAAGGAAAGAGTCTTCAGTTCCTCTAGTAATGGCCAGGGACTGTGGGTCACACCAAGGGACGCTCACCTGCTCATTCATGATGGCCGACAGTTCACTGAGCATGTCCTTATAATGGGACCTCAGTTCTTCCTGGTACTCCAGCTGGTCCTCCTTGATGAGACGCTCATTCACATCCAGAGCCTGCCCACACGCATCTGCGAATTGCCTTTAATGACAGCATTGGGCAAATTAAAAACCCGTTACGGGAAGAGGTATTGAGTTCAGGGACTTGGGTCCAAGGCTGGGCTATGGATACTCTGTCACCTTGAAGAGGGTTAATCGTGCGGCTTTCCTAGGGGTTTCGTGCCTCTCTGTGTGAGGTAGTTAGAAGAACATTTCAACAAAGCGAACCTTACCTGAATATTTCCTTCAATAGCTTTACTTGGTTGTCAGGGTATTTCTTAGCATTTGTCTCTTCAAGAAAAGCTCGGGCATAAGCCATTGGCCCAGCATTGACCTGTGGGGAGAAGAGACTAGGCTGAGGCTGACTCCTCCTCTCTCTGGAGTTTTCTCCATGGTAAGGGAGGTCCAGTCCTCTGACCTATCACATGGAACCCTGGCACTGTCCCACCACAGTGTGATCCACCACTTTCTATACTCGCTGTACCTGCTGTTGTTTTAGGGGTCAGCAGCCACACTGGAATCCGGCCTTCCTTGTTACCCTTGCCAAAATCAGTCATATGTCACCCTACAATGTGACAGCTTCCTCTGAGCAGAGAGCTCCAGGGACACAGCTTTTGTGAGCTGTCAGCAGTGTTGGGGGCATTCAGTGATGCAGCCATGTCTGAGTCAACCCAGCTTCTCTAAGTAACTCCTTAGCCACACTCCAGTAGGCAATCCAAAGACACGTCCTGGTTAACTAGGCTGGACTTTGCTCGGATCGCCACTAGCTTTGCCACTGGTTCCCTGTCTGGGATGAGCAGATGTTTGTACGTTGCCTCCCCAGGAAGAAGGCACACAACACGACTCCTCTTGCCACTTGCTATCTTCACATACTGCGTGATCGCCCTTTCTATAACAATTTTGAAAAAAAAAAAAGTCCTTCATTGCAAACCCTTCCACTGAAGCTAAATTTAATGTTTGTGACATCCAGTGTTTGAGGTGCCCATTCGTTTTCTTTTCTATTGGCATGAAAGTAAACACATAGTCGTGACGAAAAGACATTCCACAGAGGTAGCGGTGTGTGCACCGCCCTGGCAATCTGTGTTCCTCTGTACTCTACTTGAAAGCCTTGCTAAGGTCTGGGCCAAGGAAGCATCCATCAGAGCTGCTGCATGAATGCACACCAAGCTGTTTGCTTTTTAGTTGTTGTTGTTGTTATTGGTTTGCAGTTCTGGAGGCTGAATCTGGAACCTTGCATACGATATACAAAAGCATGCGTGCGCGTGCGCGCGCACACACACACACACACACACACACACACACACACACGCTCTACCACTGAGATACACCCCCAGCCCTGCAATACCAGCTTCTGTTCCCACTCAGGCACAAACACTATGCTTGTGAAGAAGCTCATTTTTCTTCACGCATACAAACCTGTTAGTGTGGCTATGGTGTTTGGAAACTGTGATGGATAGTTTTAATTTTCAACCAGAAACGGCCTAGAATAATCGGGGAAAGAATCTCAGTGAAGGAATCGCCTCCATTGGGTTGGCCTGTGGGCGTGTCTGTCAGCGATTGCCTTCCACGAGTTAATTCACGTGGGAAGACTCAGTCTACAGTTGGCAGCTTGATTCCCTAGGCAGGGGTTCCCAACATGTGTGACAGTGGAGAAGTCAAGCCCAGTAAGTGTGCAAGCGTGCAAGTGAGCAAAAGTCAGCAAGTGTGGACTCAGTTCTCTCTGCTCTTGACTGTAGAAGGGATGTGACTAGCCATTCAATGCCTTCGCCATGACTTTTCACAATGGTAGACTATTACCAGGATTGTAAACCTGGGCTATTGTGCAGCAGCAGAAATAAAATGGTAACAGGATGGGAGCGAATGCTGCACCAGAGTCAGGTGGGTGCAGGGTACACAGCCACTGGTGCTACATCCCCTCTGGCTCTCCAAGCCCATCCTCCACTTAGCTTTGTGCCCAGGCCTGCTGACCTCTCTTGACTTCACGCTGAGTATGCACGTATCTATTTTAGTCTTTTGGAGTCAGCCAGCGGGGACACAGACAAGACTTGAGCATATCACGATGAGCAGCTGTGATTTTTTTTTCTTCTGTTACAGATTCAACAGATCAAAAAGCAGGGAAAGACATTGCTACTGGTTTGGTTTTGTTTAAGACTTTATCTTCTTTCTCTTTAAATATTTTTAAACGTCTTGTTTTTTGACATATTTATTAGATTTATTGATATTCTCTCTCTCTCTCTCTCTCTCTCTCTCTCTCTCTCTCTCTCTCTCTCTCTCTCTCTCTCTGTCTTTCCCTAAGTTCCTCAATGCATACATGGAGGTCAGAGGACAATTTGTGGGAGTCAGTTATCTTTAACACTGTAGGTTCCCGAGATCTAACTCAGGTCTCCCATCTTGGCAGCAAACGCCTTTATTAACTGAGCTATTTTGAAGTTCCTCTTTTTTTACGTCCCCCCACAGCCCATGCATGTTTGAATGTGTGTCTCTGTGCACAGGAAGAGATCAGAGGAGACATAAGGTGCCCCATTCTCTCATTCTCTGCCTTACTCACTTTAGAAGGGTATCCCACTAAACCTGGATTGAGGCTGCTAACTAGGAAGCTCCAGAACCCCCACCCCCAATCTCCATCTCCTAGCCCCTATCTCTGGGGTTACAGGTGTGCATATAGTCACACCAAGATGTTTTTTTTTTTTGATTTTGGATATTTGAATGCAGGTCCTCAAGCTTGCACAATGCCCTTATTTATTGGGCCATCTTCCCAGCCCTGAGACATTAATACTTTGCTCAATGTGGGCTTTTCAAATTAATTTTCACTTTTAAAAATAGCACTTTAAGATAGTATTTTATCTTAATTACTAATTAAAATCTATGCCTATGATGAGAGCCTTACCATGCCCTCCCCCGCCCGGTGTGGGACAGGTTGGAATACAATCTTAGCATCCTCCTCGGAGTACCCCAAAAGAGGCCATGCCTGTCCCTTACTAGTGGACCCTTCCCTTACTTTGTTTCGACCAAGCCTCCTACGCTAGCTTCTTTGGTTTTAAGGGTATATGTTCAGCAGGGTGTGACTAGCAGCTATACATGCCCCTTCTTCAGGGGCTCCCACCCTTCTGTAGACTTTATTTTATTCTCCCCATCACCCACTATTCACCACATCTGCTTCATGTCACAGCTCTCAGCCCGTAAGCACTAATGCTTTTGTGAACCACTAAACATTCTTCATTCTTAAAAAAAATATTTTAGAACAGATAACTTTCATCACAACAGTTATGTATGGAGTGCAATATTTATAAATTGGTTAATTCATTTGTTAAGGTATATGATATGGGAGGGTTAGATAGAAGAAACTTTCCATTATCCAAACTTAGTTGTTTCTATGGATGTTTTAGATTTTTCTGGTGGTTTCATACATTTATATAATGAATTTTAGGCATTTTCACATACCCCACCCTATCTCACCTATCTTTCTCTTCCACTTGAATTTTCTTCTTGAAAGTACCCTGATTCTATTATTATTATTATTATTAAAATTGATTCATTTATTTCACATCTGATTGCCTTTTCCTCTCTCTCCTTTCTTACCATTCTCTACTTATTACCTCCCCTTGCCTCCCAATCTACTCTTGTTCCTGTTCAGAAAGGAACAGTTCCCCATAGATGTCAACAAAGCAGGGCATATCAGGTTGAAGAAGGACTAAACTCCTATCCTTGTATTAAGGCTGGGTGTGCCACCTAGTAGGAAGAATAGGTCCCAATGACTGAGAGATACTTAAAGAAATTGTTCAACATCTTTAGCCATCAGGGAAATACAAATAAAAGTGACTCTGAGATTCCATCTTACACCAGTCAAAATGGCTCAGATCAAAAACACTAATGACAAGCCGGGCGATGGTGGCACACGCCTTTAATCCCAGCACTCGGGAGGCAGAGGCAGGCGGATCTCTGTGAGTTCGAGACCAGCCTGGTCTACAGAGCTAGTGCCAGGTCAGGCTCCAAAGCCACAGAGAAACCCTGTCTCGAAAAACCAAAAAAAAAAAAAAAAAAAAAAAAAAAAAAAAAAACAAAAACACTAATGACAGTTTTTGTTGGAGAGGATGTGGAGCAAGGGAAACACTCCTCCACTGCTGGTGGGAGTGCAAACTTGTATAGCCACTTTGAAAATAAATATGAAATTTTCTCAGAAAATTGGGAATTAATCTACCTCAAGACCCAGCTCTATACTTGGGCATCCCAAAGAATGCTCAATCGCACCACAAGGACACTCGCTCAGTTATCTTCACAGTAGCGTTATTCATAATATCCAGAACCTAAAAACAACCTAGATGCCCCTCAGCTGAAGAACGGATAAAGAAAATGTGGTACATTTACAGAATGGAGTATTACTCCTGCTTCACTTTTAAACTTTGAATTTTTATTCTCTGAAAATTTTATACATAAGTACACTGCACTGTCCTCACGTCCACTCCCAACCTAGAGTCTCCCCTGCCCCTCTGGAATTAATGACCTCTTCTGTATTATCATTGTTTTGTGCACACTCACCCCCACACAAACAACCTCCTGAACCCGATTAGTGTTGCCCATATGTACATGGATTCAGGGCTCATGACTGCCTTTAGTTCTTCAGCTAGAAGTGGGGCCTTATGAATTTTTGCCCCATCCATGCAGGCATTAATCTGGTTTTAAAGGTGCAGAGAAGAAAAGCCTTAGGTAGTTCCTGTTGTCAACTGACAGAACCCGGAATCACCCAAGAGATAGATTTCTGGGTATGTCTGTGAGGGATTTTCAAGATGAACTGAACTGGAATGGGGAGACTTACCTTAAATGTATGGGACAATATTTCGTGGCTGCATAGAAATGATTTTTATTTCAGCATTCTTTTGTTCCCCCTAACTGTGGGTGCATTGTGGCCAGCCACTTCATGTTCCTGCCATCTTACTGACTGTACCCACAAACTATGATCGAGACAGCCAACCCCACCCCTTAAGTTGTTTAACCTTGGGTATTTGTTCACAATGGTGGGGAAAGTAACTAATATGGATAGGCCACAAACAGCCAGAATGTTTCTTATATACTTAAAAAAAATTCTCGGAGCATTTTATAGCAAGCTTCACTGGAATTTGTGAGTCTTTGCTCTGGGATTGATTACTGACCTTCACGCTGACACTGCCTTGCAGTTTGAGCTGTAGCCTGATCATGTCCACCTCATCTGTAGTGCACAGCTGATTAAGCTCAGAGACCTTTTTGGACATCTCATCAATCGCGACTTCAATGGGATTCAGTTCTGTACTCGACTGGCTGATGACCTGGATCCGCTTCTTCACGTAGGGAAACAAGTGGCTGGCTGCACGGAAGCCACACAAAGATTTATGAAGGGTCGAAGAAAAGTCCCAGGTTCCCATGAGGGTCTTCAGGATTTTGTATTGTCTCCAGCTACTTCTGGTGTCCCTTCCGACCCGCACAAGCTCACCCCAACCTTCTCAGGGCTGTACTAAGATGGCCAGAGCAGCCAAACCCTGAAAGGATTGCAGTAGGCGCTGAAACTTGCCACCCCCGTAATGAGATCCACGCAGAGCTCCAGTAATGGCTTTCCACTATAGAGAAGAGCAAACAGGAGCTTGGTTCTCGGTGTGTTTACCACTAACCCCTCGGTCAGCTTCCTGAAAGTGAATGAATGCTTGTCATAGTTTAGAAGTCGGGGCCATTCTTGGTGGTTCAGTTCAAAACTGGGGTCTCTCAAGGTAGTTGGGTGTCTTCCTCCAGAGGGCCTTCACCCAATTCTTTCTGTGAGCTTTAGCGTCCTAGACCTATCAATGCCCCTACATTAAAAAATTAATTTTTTTAATGTTGTCTTTATTGGAAATTCTTTTTTACTTTGGTCTTTGTTCTACCCCACCATTAGCACCACGGGAGCTTGGTTGTATTTCATTTAGTTGAATTGCCAGGATCCTGGGGAGATCCAACATCAAGTAAGTACACAGTGTCTGTTAACAAAGGAGAGGTGACTACTTCACAGGACAGATACAGAGAGCATAAAACAAGGTGTTCAAGTCCAACCTTATTCTAGAGAAGAGCTGGAATCTTACAGAGGGGAGAGTTTTACCCTCAAGCCTAACATGCCAATAGCTGCTAACTCAGAAGCAGATAAGGGTGGATTCGGGGAGAGGAAGGGAGCATTTGGTGTCCATGTCTTTATCATGGTGTGACACCATGACACTTGTGAATATTCCCGCTCAAGGGAAAGGATTGCATTGGCAGTGTCTCTCCAAGGTTCCGAGGCCCCATTTTTTAAAAATTTTGTTGTCATTTTGAGGTGCAATCCGACTATGTAGCCCAGGTTGGCTCTGAGCCTTGGCTCCTCCCCACTACTGGAATCAGAGTTGCTCACAACCACAGCTGGCTATGGAGTTTCCTGTTAGCAGAACCTAAAGAGGGGCAAAACTCCTGATCCCCCAAACAGCTCTAGGTCAATGCATTTCGGGAACTTGCCTGCAGGGTTGAAGTCACCACATAGGTATGTACTTGCATGCAGTCTTCCTTGTTTTTGTTACAGGGCCTTTGATGAGATGGGAGCATGGGGGCTCTCTGATCAGGCTACACTGACTGGCCAGGAAGCCCTAGGGATCCACCTGTCTCTGCCTGCCCAGTGTTGGGATTACCAATACATGCCTGCATGCTTGGATTTTGTGGTGAGCTCTAGAATGGAACTCATGTTTTTATGGTTATACAACAAGCATTTCACTAACTATGCTGTCTTGCTGACCACTGCAGCCACACTTGACTTAGGGAATCTAGCCTTGGCCCTAGGTGGGGAAGGTTTCATCCTGCACTTACTGGTCAAGACCGTCCTCCGTTTGCACTGCTCCGCCACTCCACCATGCTTCTTTCCTGACAGAGTGAAGGGTGTCTCGAATACAAAGCGGTTGATGTTGTGATGCATTTCGAAATCTGTCTTCCGGTCGTCTATTTCCTTTTCTTCAAAGAATGGCGTCACATAGGTCACCTGAATATAGGCATACTTGGGGTCCAGGTCCTTGGGGTTTACCTGTGTAAACAGTAAGGGTACCGCAAGAGTGGTGAGCTGCAGGTGATTTATGAGTTCCCTTGCTGCCTCCTGGTGGATAAAAAGCACTTTGTGCTCTGTAGACCACAGAAGACTAGATGACTGGCAGCGGGTAAGAAGCCTGGCTCTGGTTGTCAACAGGACTTAGAGCTAGTTCACCAAGCTGGAGCCAGATCGCCTTGTGGATCTTTTCAACACAGATTCCTGGGTAGGGCACCATTTAAACTTTTATTCTCTATCCCTTCTGTAACGAGTCACCCGTTGTGCAAAGTGAAAGTTTCTTGGAAGCAGAAACACCTCTCTTTGTTCCTTTGTGGTGTCGCCATGTCCCTAGACTGGTACCATTGGCTTTGGACTGGCAATGTGGAAGAAGGCTCCTTGTCTCCCTTAGCAGACTACCTGACTGCCTGTTAAACGACTGCAACTTTTTGTATTTTCATTATTGTTGTGTGTGTTGCATATGTGCTTTAGTCATGAACATTGGTGCATGTGTATGGGTGTGCATGCATGTGTGGAGGCCTGGAATCATCCTCTTTAGTTCTTTCATCTTATCTATTGAGGCAGGGTGTCTCAGTAAAACTAGTCTTGCATTTCAGTTCACTCTAGGGAATTCTAGGCATCTGCCCTTGGAGGCGGGGATTGCAGGTGGCCCACCATGCCCAGCTGGCATTTACATGGGTTTCTGAGGATTTGAACTCAGGTTCTCATGTTTGGGTGGTACTTGCTTTAATTAGCTTTACTGAAGAGCCACTTCCCCAGCCCCAAGTTTTTGTATTTGCCATATCTCAAATCCTTATCAGCAATAATCCATTCTACCCAACTTCTTTGGCAAGCTGCTTTGGTTCCTAGGCTTATTAATAGGAAGGAAACAAACTGGACAGCTCAGGGAAATCTGAGGAAACTTCTCTGGCTCCCCTTTGGGTTTAGGAAGGATGTTTCTCGAAGACATCTTGAATTTTAAACCTGTTTTTAATCTTCTTCATATTTCTATCCTTCTACTTCTTACCCAATTCTAGAAATTTCAGGAAACTTTGAATATGGCTAGAGAATGGTAATACATGAGGAAGTTGGGAGTAGTTTAATGAGAAGATACATTGCTTCCTGCAGCCAAGAAGAGGTTCTTTGGATTCTCTCAACTTCATACCATGTGATTGCAAGTGTGACTCTCTTAGGCGGGACAGCTCTCGCAGAATGGTGTGGCTTTCAAAGACCTCCCTGACTGGGTAAACAAATATGTCCTACTTGGTTTTCCTCCAGCTCTGCTTTTGAGCTCAGCCACTTTAACATTTTAGCAGCTATCCAAGTGCAAATGGTAGACATGGAAGCAGAAATGCAAAAGCAGGAGACGTGCTAAATTAAAGTACTCAGTTGAAAAAATGTCTAACAGTGCCGGAGAGTGGGCCCTGTGGTTAAGAGTGCTTACTGCTTTTGCAGAGGACCCGGAATTGTTAGCAGCACCCCCATGGTAGCTCTTATAACCACTTGGAACTTCAGTCCAGAGGACCCAGCGCCCTCTCTGGACATCTGTGAGCACTTGCACAAACCTAGTGTTCATAAATTCAGGTAGATACAGGCACATAAAAACAAACAAACAAACAAACAAACAAACACACCTCCCTCTACCTCACTGGCCAGCCAATAGGCAAAATGTCTAATACTTTGGGTGGTTCATTTTGCATGGTCAGCTAGGAAATTAAAACACTCACTAGAAGATAAAAAGGTTGAAGTCAAGTCCCATCGCACACTGTTCCCTACCTTATTGGAGTCCTGGATTATCTTCACATTGTCTGCTCCGAATTTGTCTGCATAGAGCTTGAGGAGTCTTTGGGAAATCTCCGAGAGACCTGTCAACTTAGGCTCTTTGTAGATGTACTCTTTGCCCTCTTCCTCCTCGAAGAATCCCTGGGGGAGATACACAGCGAGCCACCTGCTTTATTAGAGAACTCTTGTGACGAATCAAAGCAAGACAAAAAGCCATATGCTTACAAAAAGTGTTCAGTTTTTCAGGTGTCTGAAGCCATTAATTAGGAGCCTATGAAGTTCAAATCAGAAAAGAAGATGCAAAGAAAATAGAATACTGTGTCATAAACAGTTAATAAACAGACACTCCCCAGTGAGACAAAGGAATGTCAGCGCAGATCCTATACATATCTTCTCTTCTTGTAGAAATCAGGAAGTATTTGCTTGCATATAAATTGGAGGAAGAATGCCCTCTTGTGGTAGTCTTAAGTAGAACACAAAATTTTAAGTAATGTTTGGCATTTTTTTTAAAGCACATTCATTATCATTTAAGTGAAGTCTTCTATGAATCTTTAAAAACAGCACAGGCGACACCACATGGCATGCAAGGGTATCTAAGCATGTTTCCACTTCGTCTGGGGTGAAGACCTGTGACACTTTATTGTTATAGTGACAGAAATTGCCCATGATGAGCTCCAGTGACAGCTATTTTAAAAAGTCCACATCAATTTGTCTTCAAAGACTTTAAGGTACAAGCTAGCCATAAGTAACTTAATCACCAATCACCCAGTTTTTAAATTCTTGAAAGGCTGGACTTTACAGGACTAAAAATAACACCCAGGCCATCATTTTTATTCCATCAGATCCCACTGGGTTTTAGCCTTCATAAATCTGTCTGTTTTGAAGCCAGGGAAAAAGAAGATCTTATTATCTGCAGATAACTAAGTGAGAAATTCCTTATAATTCATTCTCTTTGAAGAATCAGGAGCATGTCTCCTCCTGACCCTGTGGAATAGGTGTGGGCTCAGAATACCAGATGAGCTCAGTGAGAAGAACCTACATTATCTGTTTCTTCTGATTGCGGGGTTTGTCTACAAAGAAATAGATTTTGAAGTTTGTAAAACTACCGAGTCCAACAAGAGATAGCATTATTTAAAAAACAAAACAAAACAAAACCCAAAAACTTGTTTTTGAGGGATGGGGGAGATGGCTCAGTGGTTATGCATTTGGCAGCATGTGTAAAGACTGGGATTTCAATCCTTCAAACCCAGGACTTGGGACTGCCTTCCTAGAATTCTAACCCCAGAAGACGGAGGCGGAGAAGCCTCCAAGTAAGCTGGTTAAGGAAACTAGCCACGCCAATGGTCTCTGGGGTTGACTGAGAGACTCCGCCCCATTGGATGAAATGGAGGAGTGATCACGCATGAGTCTCTCTCCAGTCTCTACGTGCATGAGTACTCTGTGCACATAGACCCCTACACATGTGTGCCCATACATGTGCAAACATGCAGCCACACACTTCAACATACATATGCATGGCACACACATACAAATGGAAGGAAGGAAAAATTATTTTTGACTAAAATGTTCGTTACTTGTGAAAGATTATGGGCAAATGTCCTAATGCAGCCTTTTTTTTATGGATGGTGAGACGTGATCTAAAACGATTAAGCTCACAACTGTCTGGTGTTGAACACTTGCACAGCCCTTGTTCTCAACAGCTCATTATGCATCATAGAGGGCTATGGGCTTGCAGAAGCCAATGCCCAGGATCCATGTCCCAGCTCTCTTCCTGTCAAGCAGGCACTGCCTAACCTCTTGTCCATCTTCCTAATTTCAGCACATGAAGCAATGCATGTCCAGCTTCTGACACATTGTCTGGCCTTTAGGAAGGGGAGGGGTCACTGTATCTTCCCAATGAATAAATAGATGAATAAAATTGTTTTTGGAAAATGTATGCCTCACAAAGGTATAAATATAATTGGCGAATGTCCCCTGGCTCTTTATGAAAAAGCTAAGCTTGAATAATCCTTTTGATAAATGTGCAAATGCAAGAAGCTGATTTTTAATACTTTTGCCCCTGCCCTGACCCTGAACTTCTAGAAGGGGGGGGGCTATGATGTGGAGAGCACAGAAAGCTGAAAAGCTGTTCCCAGACACTCCCTTAGACTCCGCAGGGGTGAGAGAGGTCTGATTCTCTTCCTATTGGACGCCTGTCTGCTTTGCTTCTTCCACTGCTGACTGTGGGCTTTTGCCTGACTCAAGGTCAGGAGTCAGTACTGAAAACTGACAGTCTGTGACATCAGAGGAGTAAGACCTGGGAAACCAAATACCAGAATTCCCAAAGGGCCTCAGCCAAAGCAACAATTACAACTTCAACTGCAACAGGGGAAAAATGCCTTCCAGTTTCATGAAAAAACTCCACCCCACCCTCTCCTCCCCTCCCCTCTGTAACATAGGAACTAGTGTGATGAGACACCCCCACTGTGGATTTCCCTCCTGATAAATTCTGAATCCAGGGTCAGCAGGGAGTGGACAGAAGCAGACCTTTGTTGTGGCCATTGTGACTTTGCGACCTTGGTGGTAACCTGTGATTTTCTTTCATGCCTACTCCTTGGTCTGTAGGATGGCAAAAAAAGCACACATTTGGCCATGTATTAAGAGCCCCCAGGTGCAGGGTCTGACCCACAAAGGACGTTCCATGAGTATGAGTTACGACAATGACGATGGCAACCAAGGAAGACTTCATGGCCATGAGACAGCTTGAGTTCTGACTTTATGCAAGGCTTGCAGCAGTCCATTGCTTAAGCAAACAATCCCCAGCATCTCTTGCATCAGAGCTGTAAATTTTCCTTATCACAGCATGTCTACTGATGGTCCTTGCCACATTTGGGCCATTGATTTGGTAGGAAACAAATAATCCTTAGACCTTTTCTTCCTCCTGAAGATTACTTTCTGTGTTTGCTGCTTTATGTGTGATGAGTGATGATCATGTGTGTACCATCGTGCTAATCCCAGACTCCCACCCCTCGTGTGTGTGTGCATGTGGTGTGATGTGGTGTACCACTCCCAATAGTTTTGAGACAGCTGTAAGAAGTAAGGAGTAGCAGAATTCATGTGCTGTTTGTCAGGGCTTAAGAGAGGCACCCTTTCAGCCAGACCAATGGCAGCTGTGGAAACGTTTGGAATGGATGCTTACCTTCTGACAAGGAAACCACTGAAGAGGGCAGAGGCCACTGAGCTGCAAAGCATGATCTGAGGGAAAGCTTTGCTCTCAGACATGCCCACCACGTCAACAATTTAGGAGTGGGGTATGTGTGTGCGTGATGCAAACCGAGCGGCAGCTCCCCACTTTGCTTTAGGGTTCAGGTTGTTGATTGGCTGCATTTCCAGGCAGTGGGACATGGGGCCTGCACATGGCTACAGCTGGTTTGATTTTTTTTCCCACCAAAGTTATTCCATAATGTAGTATATGCCTTAATGTGCTGTCATTCTGAAGAAGCACATTTTACTTAAGTAAGTAATTCGGGTCAGTGGAGTTAACACATGTAGACTGTGAAACCTCAAGGCAATAAATACGGCTAAAAACCCACTTCAATAAACTAACAAATAAAATTATTGATTCTTTTCTAGATTTTTTTATAAAGTTCTTCAGAATATTGAAGTGTCCTTAGATGAGAACCGGGATGTCAAATATGAGTCCCTGCTTTGATGTTAGAAAGGTCCAACATTCACAAGTCAAACAATTCAGACAAAGAAGATTTGGTTAGCAGCAGGCTAAATGCTTTCAGAAGAGAAGACACAAGAATGCAGAAAAATTGTTCCTGGTAAGCAGGAGTGCATAAATTATGTTTAGATAGATAGATAGATAGATAGATAGATAGATAGATAGAGCCAAGATCAGTTACTTTCACATAGACAGGAGCTGGAAGAGAGTCTATTGCATCTCAAAATGGAGATGTTACTTTGTTTTCCAACTACACATGTATGTTTCCCATGCCCTCCAAGCTCTTTTCCATCCAGATTCTGAAATACATCTACTCCGAAGGACGCATGGTCCACTAATACACTGAGTAACGTCCCCCACCCCAAGATTTCCAGCTAATTAATCCCAGGGCTATCTGATATTTGAAGCTATGCAAGGAAAATTTTCTGGCCTGTTTTCTTACTAAAGGCTAGGGCCTAAGGGTTTCATTGATTACAGGCAGTGTTTGATTGCTACTGTTGTTTCCTTACTCTGGCAACAAATCCTTGAGGGAAGTCGGAGAGCTGCTTTTTGCCTGCTGTTATATCCATAGCCAAGGCTGCCAGCTGCTGTGTGAGAAACTCCATGCTATGCACGACTCATATTTTTTAAAAAGTCCCTTCTGTGAAGAAAGGGTTTTCAACTTGCTTGTTAATGTCTGCCTCATTGCAGACTTGGTTAATATTAAACAGCCTAGTCAACACAATAAGATGGGAACACTAGTCCACACAGTGCACCGATGTGTGCTCAGAGGACTTTGTAGAGGCAAAGAGCCTATTTTCTGTTATAGTCACACAATCTCTTGAGCACGATTGCAAGAGGCATCTGTGTGTATGCTAAAAGGTGTGTTTTAGAGGAATATAAAGTGACATCTTGAATAAGAAGTTGCTTTTTTTCAGTACAGGGATTATGTTAATCATTGGAGAGCTCGTCTCTGAGTTCTGGAAGCTTCATTCTGCACAGATTCAGGAGAATGTGCAAATCCTGCTTTGGTTTACTTATCAAGGCGAAGGGATGGGAACTCTACTCCTGCTGAATACCACAGTTCACAGTTGCCATGTGGTGCCCTGGCGTGTGCATTTGAATATCATTTGCATAACGATCATTAGAGCTCTGATTTGTTACTTGTCAGGGTGAACTAACTCCACAGGTGCTCTTTGTCCAAAGGCAGCTGATGGTGGCCCTTAGGGAGGATCATGCTTAGGTAAGTTTATCAGGTCTGCACATAAAAAGATATTTTTACTTCTAAGCTCTGATTGGATTTATTTTTCTTAATCAAAGGCAAATGATAGTCCTTCCCCATAACAAAAAAGTAGCTAGACCATCAGCATATGTTTTAAGAAATCTGAAAAAAGAACAAAGTTAGGTCACTTGAAAGCAACATCCCCGAATGGCCCCCTCAGTCCATTTAGTATATGATTCTCAAGGATTCTTCTAGTAGGTGAGTTAAGGACTCATGAATTCAAGTTTATAGATGAAGGTGTAAGATACCCACATGACACAGAGGTGGGAAGGAACCTAGAGAATTACAGAAAAGTCCGCATTGTTCATGTGAGAAGAGCTGAATGGTGACAGAACATGGAAAGACATTTTCTCTTCCTTAATGGATAATAATTATATCAAGCCACATAAAGATGTCAATTTTGTAGATAAAAACAATGGCTAAAGATAGGCAATTTCAAAGACAACACTTTTACTGAGAGTTCTTGATACTGGTAGATAATTTCTGATCTGACTATGTTCACGGTCTTTCTATCCCTCTTTCTGAATCTCTAAAAATGAAGGTTTGTTCTCTTTAATTCTTTGTGTTTAGAATCACCTCTAAAGGACCAGCGCCTGCTAATACAGAACCTGATTTTTCAAAAGGATTCCTTGCAAAAGACTCTGAGAAGGACTCTCGTCCTGAAAATAGTCACTATTCCAACTTCTTACCACCTTCAGCTCCATAATGACTCTCAACCTGTGGGCTGTGACCTATTTGGGGTTGCACATCAGATGCTCTGCATATCAGGTATTTACATTACAATTCATAACACTAGCAAATTTACAGCTAGGAAGTAGCAATGGAAACAATTTTATGGTTGGGGGGTCACAACCATGAGGAACTTTATTAAAGGGTTGCAACACTGGGAAGGTTGAGAACCACTGCCAAACATTTGATTCATGATAGCAAGTGATCTCCAGTATTAAATATATTCTGAATCTATTTAAAACATGTGCTATCCATATCTACCTTGTGCACTTGTGTGTGTGTGTGTGTGTGTGTGTGTGTGTGTGTGTGTGTATGCATGTGAAGCTTCTAGATTACACCCTCTACTTTTGTGGAGAAAGGCAATGTGTGCAAAAAAAAAAAAGATACTCTTTTTTGTAATTCAGGCAACTGGAATAAACAGAATTTAGTGCAAGAAATGCAAGATGGCTCCAAAAAGAATCAAAACAGCCATCTCACTCTTTGTACCAAATGTTGATCTGTACAAGAATGTTAAGGTTCAGTAGAATTGTAAGGAGGGATGTTTGAGGATTATTAGAGCATGCAAAGGGACACAGAGAGGAATGAACTTACCACAGCCTGGATCAACCAAGACCAAAGGAAGAAAAGAGCAAACATTTGCATTAAAAACTATTTGGGAAGCAGCAAGTTTTCACCTTTTTACCAGCTTGTGTCTCACACATGGGTTTGCATGGTCAGGGCATTAATTGGAACCTTATTACTTTTTTGCTGACAAGTCATCAATGATTTGGATTATATCCTGGTTAGCAAAACACCCCTTACATAGCAACGTTCTGCTGCTCAGTTAGCCTGTATGTTTCCTCCAGTCATGCAACCCCCATATCCCCTTCTTGGTGGGATTTTCTGTTATTTTTCTCACTAATGCTCTGCCAATGCCATACAGTGTATATTTCTTCCAACATACTATTGCCTCTCATCTGAAAGTCCTGCACACGCCTCTCCCCTCCGCAGATACACACAAGCTATTTCAGATTCTTTTTAATCCCCCTCCACATGACTATAATTAGCATTTCTCTATAGACTGCTCTCATAACATTATGTCTCTCTGTCTCTACAGTGATGTTGTTGGGAACTAGGAAGAATCCATGTGGGAGGGGGTGGACTACAGAGGTAACTCCTCATGGGTCCTTTTCAGAGAGACAGAATCAGAAGTGAGCTTTAAAGGTGCCTTTAGTGATCAGAGGAATCTCTGTTTTTCTAAAGACTTCAGTGGGTAAATTATCTATATAAGCAACACTGGACCAGACACTATCTACAGCCTTAACAGAGTCCAAGGAGAACGAGAGGCTGTGTGTAGTCATGCCTCACAAGAGGGAGAGGAAAGAAAGTTCTGAGAACTGCTGTGAGCATAAACTAGGTTGGCGCACTTGTCTCCTAGAGTCAGAAAGACTTTTGCTGAGCTAGAAGGATGGCACAGCCTTTCTGAACAGGAACCATGGCATTCCAGGATTTATACCATTTAAAGCATCATTACAAGGAGATATTCAGAATTAGTGTGAACCACTTCCCTTCAGACCAATGCTATGGCTAGCTGATATCTCCACCCTTGCTCATTGCTAACGCAGGACCTTGAGAAAGATAACTTTACAACCGCATTGGCCTGTGACAGAGGAAACAACAAGACCCCAGGATGCTCTGCTTTGAAACAGTGGTGATTTGAAAACAAGAGAGACAACTTACAGGATCGTAAAGCCAGTGGTTTGGAATGGTGGGCAATTTAGGGTGTTATTTCCTAAAACATGCCTGATTCGATTTCACTTTAATTAATAACACAGCCCTGTTAGATACATCAGGGTAAAATGCAAAGAAGAGAACGGTGAAAAAGAAGCCTCCTCTACTTCCAAAGGCTAGGAATGACTTTTTTTAATGTAACTTTTATAAGTTTCATTGATTTTTTTCTACATGTTTGTGCTTAATACATTCCTATGGGCAACCTGATTGCCACAGTCATAGAAACACTCATGGGAGTACAAACACACCCCTCCCCTGGTCCACTGATATATGTAGTCAGATGTCTTATAAAGAATGGAAGACGGTAACCTGAGCAGAATGCTCAGGCATGGTACTTCTAGAGGCCTTACCTGCCCATAGAATGCCACTCTGTAGTAGCGACCAAACAGGCGCTTCTCGGAATTCACCACCTCTGCCACTTTCAGATATGACCGGTGAATGTCATAATAGAGATCTGATAATTTCTGAAACCAGAAACAAGAGCGTTTTGTGATGACAATGCTGACATAAAAAAGAGAACGTTGCAGGCCAATGGATGGAGCTAGAAAACATCATATTGAGTGAGGTGACCCAGACCCAGAAAGACAATTATTATACTTATCCACTCACAAGTGGTTTTTAGACATAAAGCAAAGAAAAACAGCCTACAAATCACAATCCCAGAGAATCTAGACAATGAGGTCCCTAAGAGAGACTTACCTGGATCTGGTCTACATGGCAAGCAGAAAAAGACAAGATCTCCTGAGTAAATTGGGAGCTTGGGGATCATGGGAGAGGAAGGGGGGGGGAGCAGAAAAAAATGTATAGCTCAATAAAATAAAAAAAAAGAAACCAAAGAGAGAGTGCACGAGAGAGAATGTTGCTATGTTTGCATGCCAACTCAAATTAAAAAATTCCATGGCTTTCTCTGGGTACAGAGCACATACTTTGAAGTCTCGTTGCTTTTCAAAGACAGCTATGATGGGCTTGTTGACATCAGCGATGAGCTCATAGCGTTCAGACTTCCAGAGAAACTCCACACACATGTAGAGCTGTTCCACCAGGATATTCTGCAATTTCCCCAGAGAAATGGAGCTTTTTAGGTGATTGAAGATGCAGCTCATTCCTGAAACTTGGTTTTGAAACTATTTTGGTCTTACGTGGTTTCTGGATTCCTGATCTTCATGATTGAGATTACAGCCCACCGTGGAATTCCTGTACCACCTTGGATTGCCCCTCTCTCCTCCTCACCACTTAACCATGCAATGGCTATGCCGAGTTCAGACCTTTTTGGTTCTTTCCATTGCTATTGTCACTGCTTAGCTCCCATCCCTGCCACTTCACTCCCAGACATGCGTCCCCCGACATGCAGCAGCTTTCTGCAAATAGGTGTCTCTCTCCAATGGCTGCTTGTCAGTGATATTTCCTTCTAAAACGTAAGTCTGCTCACAAGGACTCCACCCCCATAAACATTTGTGGAAATCAAGTTTATACCAACACCATCTGATTTCTCCAGACTGAATGAAATTCAAGATGGTCTGCCATCCTGTTTCTAACATTCTGCCTTGGTTTTCCACTCTGGCTCCAACTTTCTACCTCATTCCTTCCTTAGAATGCTTCTGTCCTCTACCGACTGTCCATGCTGCCGATGCCCCTATAGGAACTCTCCTTGATGTCCTGTCTAACAGTAGCACTCCTTATACAAATATACAGAGCTTTTACTGATGCCTCTTCACCTTCATTACAGCTGCTTTCATGTAAGAAACTGTCATCTTTTAATTAAAAAAATAGAACACGGCAATTCTTAGTTATTGGACATCTGTTTTAAACTGACTGCTTTTCACCTTGAAGATTCACCTTCTAAGATTTTCAAGTCTTCAAAAGCAGGGATTATGCCTGATTTATCTTTGTTTTCCTGCCCTTAATACAGTGTCTTTCAGAGTGGTGCTATATCAATCAGTTAATACATCAACTATGTGAAGTTATCAATTATGAATCTCTAAAGCAGGTATATATTATTTGAATATTTCTAACAGCATCTTTTAATAAAAGGCTCTGAGATACACCATTTGCAATTATTTCTATAAAGGTCAATTATATTTGCTATAGTCACATGCAGTATCACCAAACTAATATGGAATTGTTTGCAAAAGTGCATAAAAATACAACTCCAGACAGGCGGTGGTGGCACACGTCTTTAATCCCAGCACTTGGGAGGCAGAGGCAGGCGGATCTCTGGGAGTTCAAGGCCAGCCTGGTCTACAGAGCAAGTTCCAGGACAGGATCCAGAGCTACAGAGAAACCCTGTCTCAAAAAAAACTTCCAAATTTGTTTATTTTTTCCACATCTATATTAATACAAAGACTTTATAAAATTAGCTAATAGACTTTTATTTCATTGTGAAGGAAACTCTACTTAATTCACCAGAATTGTTGTTATGTGATTTCTCCTAGAAATCTCATGCTTTGTCATGAGAACCAACCAGCTAACATCACAAGGCTTTCCCACAGAAATTGTGAACCTTTTGCTGAGCCAAATTTGTAAATAAATAAACTTGTGTAAAAAAAACAACTGCGATGAGCTCATAAAAAATAGAGCATCCTAGCCAGGCAGTGGTGGCGCACTCCTTTAATCCCATGGGAGGCAGAGGCAGGAGAATCTCTGTGAGTTTGAGGCCAGCCTGATCTACAGAGTGAGAGCCAGGACAGGCTTGAAAGCTACACAGAAAAACACTGTCTCGAACCCCTCTAGACAAAAAAAAAAACAAAAAAAAATTAGCATCTCTTATTACATTTTCCCAGAGAGTAGAGCTTGTGCGTCTTACAGAAGAGCTGACTATATAGCTCTGAGTAAGAGCGGTAAATCAGGCTCAGCTTAAAATTTTGGTGAAGATTATGCTTTATCAATAGAATTGATTTTTTTGTGGCTATTGTGAAAAATGATGTTTCCCTAATTTCTTTCTCAGTTACTTTATCATTTGTATAAAGGAGGGCTACTTTTTGGAGTTGATCTTATATCCTGCCACATTATTGAAGGTATTTATCAGCTAGCTGTAGGAGCTCCTTAGTAGAGTTTTTGGGGTCATTTATGTATACTATCATAACATCTGCAAATAGCAAAAGTTTGACTTCTTTTTTTTTTCAATTTGAATCCCTTTGATCTCCTTTTGTTGTCTTATTGCTCTAGGCAGAACTTCAAGAACTATGTTTAGTAGATACGGAGAGAGTGGACAGCCTTGACTTGGTCCTGATTTTAGTGGAATCAATTTGAGTTTCTCTCCATTTAATTTGATGTTGGCTCTTGGCCTGTTGTATATTGTTTTATTATAGTTAGGGAGGGCATTGGACCTTCCCCAAAGCAAAGTGCTTTACACTCTCTGAAGAGTGGATGGGGGTGGAATGGGGGGGGGGTAGGTGGAGGAAACAGGAGGAAGGGGAGGGAGAAGGAACTGGTATTGGTATGCAAAATGAAAAAGATATTTTGTTTTCTTTTTTAAAAAGAAAAGTAAAATAAATTAAATAAAAAAGAAAAATAATACACTATATTTATATATATGTGAAAAATAGAATTGATATCTGTTAAGCTTGGTCTTACTTGAGCCTCAGCTTCACTTTGTTTAACAACATCATAATGCGGAGCAACTTCATCTGAAAAGTCACAGTTCAATGCATTTTTAAACTTAATTGATGTTAGATCAATTGAGTCTAACCTCATTGTATGGTGTATCTTGCATTCCAGAATCCTCTTTCATTGCTCCTTCTTCTTTAATGTTTGGGGTGATGCTCAGGAAAGCTGGCCATCCCATAGAGAACATGCCTTGGGGAAATGAAGCACAATGAAATATCACTTGAGGCAATTTCGGCATTAGAGTATGGCTTGCTTCGTGAAGTTAGTATTGGCAGTATCATAACACACGCAATGCACAGGACGGTTAGCTAGAGCATGGTTTCTGGAGTTGCCTGTGTTCATTGATATCAGATGTCCATTGCAAGAAAGGCATCATTTACTTCTCCAACTCTGAAACCTCATAACATAAAGCCTCTTACTTATTTCAGATATAACAGTGGGATTCAGTAGATTGATATACTGATAGATATTAATACATGCTAATGAAGCATGTATTACCATTTTGGCGTTCACACCTAAGTATCTCCTCTATTCAATAGATATAGCCACTATTACCGTCTATATCACAGGGGGTGGTTAAAATGCTTTAATGTTGAAGAGCCACAGAACTAACTGGGGCAAACGCTGACACTTGAGTTTCATCAGTTTTCTTCCATTTGGTTGCAGATACAAGGTGAAAGTCTATGCTGCTCTACAGTTCTACAGGGTCTAAAGATGATAAATAGCCGAGTAGGAGGGGCATGCCAAATAAAGTGATGTCTGCTGACTGGTGTATAAAAATTAGCGTGTGTGGCAGACAACAGTAAGAAGGGATATAAGGTGAACTTGCTCCTGTGGTGTAGACCTGATCTCATCTCCTAGGTTTGCAAGCAAGAAACTTCACTATTTTAAGGTTCATCTAAGTGATTTGGAAATTGCATTATTTGGAAATTTTACTGTAATTTCTTTAGAAAATATACACAGGTTTAAATGAACATGAACTTCTAGAAATACTGCAAATAAAAGTCCATTATCATTTTGTTTGGGTAGTTTGATTCTAACTCTATACTGAGTTTTCAACAGCAATTTGCAAGTTAAAATAATGTTATCAAGAATATTATAGTCCAGAAGCTGTACTTGAATGAACTTTTAAAGAGATTGTAGATAAAAATGTATTAATGATACAGTCACATTTTTACACAGAGAAACTATAGTTGTCACAAAATGCTTTTTATTAGACTTTGAAGGTGGAATGTTTTCAGTGAAAGTAAATAAATATCATCAATCATGTTATAAATTGTCAGAGTAAATTATTATTATTATTATTATTATTATTATTATTATTATTATTATTATTTATTGACTTTGCAATGCCAGAAGTCAAACACCAAGTATTACACTTGTTAAGTAAATACTATATCATTGAGACACACAGTCTTTAAGAAGTGAAATAGAACATACCTATCATAAAGGAATATACATCTATATGAATATATATCTACATTCATACTTTGAATAAACTACTGTATCCACGAACTATTCTCTCCTTACATTTATATAATTTATCAATTTCAAACTAAAATTCCAGTGATGGGCCAGCATGTATAAAGGTATGACCATAATTTATAATCCTGAAGACTGGATAATATTTCATTTTTTGATAACTGAGAAGCAAGCTAAAATTCTTAAGTTTGGGAAGGGATTTCTTTTTTTTTTCTTTTTGGTTTTTCGAGACAGTGGGAAGGGATTTCTGAGTGGTTATTGCTTGAGGCTTTATTTCTATTGACCTGAAATGGCTTTTGTTTCTAGGAACACATTCACAGAGGTTTGACTGAACCAAACTTTAAGCTGGAAAGTTGATTTCCTTAGCAGCCAAGGCAAATGAGCACAGTTAGGTCAACTCACTTCCTCCACCTGGAGTTGTTAGTAATGGGATGCTATCACAGGGATGGGTGTCTTCTGGAAGCAGGGGTGGTGTGCAAATCTTTTCCATTTTCCAGTAACCTATGGTAGTGCAAGATGAGGTTAGAGCATGGCTCACGTTGTGATTAATTCAAGCTTATGGAACCATAAACTGTTAATTAATGAGACATCGTCATCATTTTGAAACAAGAAGTTGCCCATCATCATCCACGACATGAGTGTGCCAGTGAAATCATAGAATTAAAAATATTAAAGTCTAGGATAATGAGGAATATCTACAAAATTGAAAGTTATTTAATAAAGCATACATTTAATGAATGTATGTGTTAGGTCTCAGGGATGCTGATTCCCAGGTTTTTAACCCCTTTACATGGCCCTCTTACCCTTGCGTTTGAGGTACTCTGCGATGAGTGCAGCTATATGGATGTAACACATAGCAGCCTATAACAAAACATAAAACAGAGATTCCAGAGATGTATTTCACTCTTTACGAAACCAGTGGTTGCTGAAAAGGAGTCAGTGTGCCCTCTCAGGATATGCCATGCAGACTAACCCTTAGTTATGAAAGAAGTGAAATTATCAACCAAGTGGACTTTTTTAAAGTTGCATCTCAAATCATTGATGTTGCCACCTCTATGTCTGCCCACAATCTGATGCCTTCTAGTTAGAATCAGGTATCATGGAGCCCTACATGAACGTTATTGCATTGAATATATAGATGTATATTATATACATTGGTGGAAAATATGGCACTTTTTATACTTCACGCTGTGTATAAAAAGTTAATTATTCGGATAAGGAGTACAATGTTAATGAAGAATGAATGAGCCTTTGCTCTTCACCTCAGACAGGTCTCCATTTCTTGCATGAATCTTGGCCATGCTTTCTAGCCAGGTCCTCCGTAGCTCAGGGGTACTAGCATAGGAGTTTGCTAGGCTGTACTGGAGGTCCACCAGCATCTCGGGGTCCTTCTCATGCTCTTTCATCTGGGCTGTGGCCATCAGCACGGTCCTTATACGTTTGGTCAGATCTTTCACCTCTGCTGGGAAATTGCTGTTCTTTGGAAAAGAGAGGGCATGAGTCATTATCTGTTTAGCATCAATTATTAATTTCAATCTATGCTCAAATTTTAAACAATATTTTATTGTTTTATGTGTGTGGGTGCTTTGATTGCGTGTATGTTTGTGCATCACTTGTTCACCTGGTGCCCTCAGAGCCAGAAGAAGATATTGGATCCCTTGGATTCGGAGTTATGGACAGTCGTTAGCTGTTTATGACTTGTAGGTTCTGCGAATTGAACTCAGGTATTCAGGAAGAGCAGCCAATACTCTTAACCACTGAGCTATCTCTCCAGCCCTTCAACCTATACTTTTAATTATGGATTGGCACCACAAGTTCTTATATTTTATGTATTGTTCATAAGTTGCATTCTATATATTGCAATTGTGGTTATATTCAAACATTTGGTGATAAGAATTACGGTGATTCAATCCCAGAGAACTCAGACAACAATGAGAATCTTAAGAGAGACATACACGGCTCTAATCTACATGGGAAGTAGCAAAAGACAAGATCTCCTGAGTAAATTAGGAGCATGGGGACCATGGGAGAGGGTTGAAGGAAAGGGAGGGAGGGAAGGAAGCAGAGAAAAATATATAGCTCAATAAAATCAATAAAAAAGAATTACAGTGATTACAGTGAACTGTACTGCCCGATAGCCCATCTTTCTAGCATTTGCTTCCTGATTGCCCTTGAGATTCTGTCCTCTCTGAGTTCATGCCACTTGAACAAGTTTGGACTTCATTCCTGTTGCTGGCATGTGGCACTGGACGGGGCAATCATATTCTTTTTATATATAGATCAAGGATGTTCCTTTTCTTGACTCAAATTGGTAGTGTTTGGAGAAGTGCTTTTCCATCCCTGACACAAGTGTCCTCACACTTTTTGAGGCAAATCCACAGAGACGGCCATAAATTGGGCAAATGAAGAAAAGCTGGTGCAATACATAGACAAAACAAGCAACAGAGGGAGGGGCTCTCGAATCACTCTCTCGATCTCTAGATCAAGCCGGGCTTGAAGCTTTTTCTACCTCTAGCCTTCCAAAAGTGTGAAAAGAATCGGGAGGAAAAGATGAATTTGCTTTTGATGGTTTTGAGTAAATAATGATGCTCTTGGCATACTTTGTTCTATAAGAATCAAGCCCAGATCTTAGAAATTGCACTGAAAAACATCACAGAGAGAGTGAGAACTAATAATTAGAAATTTAAATAAGCAAACGGTACCAGTGATCAAATAAGCATGGAATTCTTAAACATCCTGTGATTTTGATATTAAAGAAAAACTCCACCTCCGTTTATTTCTGATTCTTTAGAGAATCAGCCCAGGAAGCATCTCTTACTTTCATCTGTTTATCTCCATTGGCAAAGTTATTGGTGATCGCAAGGGAGTGTTGGAACCGAGATCCTCCAATCCCCGAATCGGCTATTAGCTGGCTCACTGCTTTGATGAGCTGGAAGAGAAAAGAAAAAAGGATCACTCTAACGCAGGGGTTCTCCACCTTCCTAACTCTGAGACCCTTTAATACAGCTCCTCAGGTTGTGGTGACCCCAACTATAAAATTATTCTCATTGAAATTTCATAAATGCAATTTTGCTACTGTTACGAATCATAATGTAAATATTTGATATGGAGGATATCTGATATGCAACCTTTGTGAAACAGGTTGTTTGACCCCCAAAGAGGCTGCAACCCACTGGTTGGGAAACACTGTCCTAAAGCAGAATGAGAATTTACATTTTGTGTTATGTGGATGATGTGGGACGATGAGGGTGTGCTTGCGTGGGTGCGCATGTACGTGCGGAGGTCAGAGGTCATCTTTGAACGCCGATTCTCAGGTGTCATTCGTTCTGTTGTTTGAGGCAGGAGCTTGCATGGATGAGGCAGGAACTCACTAAGAAGGCTAGTGTAGCTGATGACTGGGGTCTCCCTGTCTCCGTCTCCCCAGTGGGGAAGATTACAAGCATGCTCCATTGCACCTGGCTTTTCAATGTGGATTTTAGGGACAGGATTCAGGTCCCCGGGCTTTCTAGGCACACACTCCCCAGACAGAGCCATCTCCCCAGCCTGGAAACAGCATTTTTAAGGGAGTTGACTGAGTTAGATAAATATGCTATTAATTTCTCCTAGAAGGTTCAATGAATGACATTCTTAAGTATACATCCTTCAGAAGACCACATGATCTAGAGGCCTCTTTATCATTGTAAATACCCAAGGAGAGATTCAAGAATCTTGCAATCCTGGGGTGCCTTGGAGAAAGGCATGGTTGTCTTTGGAACTCAGTGAGATTTGGTCTCCCAGATTAACCATGACTGGTTAAAGTTGTTCCTGCCTCCCACCCCCCAGGAGATTCTAGTGCATAGGCAGAAGAAACATAACTGCAAGTGGAGATGTAAACTGAAATCTGTTCATTTCTCGCCAGCCCTGGTCTCATAGAAACCAGGATCAAGGGGATTGAGAACCTTTAAGGCGTAGTCTGGACACTCAGACAGTTGATTGGCTGCCTGGGAACAGGATGCTTCATTCACCACTGAAACGCATCAGCCATTTTAGCAGCAGAGTTAAGGAAAACGGGCAGGACATACTTGTAAGTGAGAGCGGACAATCGACTTCTGCTTGTTGAATTCAAAGTTCTTCCTCATGAAAAAGTACAGAAGTGCTGAGGCCTCCATCTGCGTGGAGCGCGACCTGTGGTTACAGCATTTCAGGACTTCGTAGCAGAAAGATCCACAGAGGTCAGCGGGCCCTTGAAAAAATGCTGAAGGAAACTAGAGAGATAGAAGGAGAGAGTGAGCCATGGTCTTTCATGTTTCAAACTCGGGGACTAAAGTACCATTTAAAAATGAGCTTTCTCCATTCGCGGGAGAGGAAAAGGAATGTATGCTTGTATTATTGAAGTCCGAGTTCAGTAAGCTCTTATTTAGTCTCTTGCATTAATGTTCCATGTGTAATAACTGACAACAACCCAAACTACATGATATCTTTGAAATGTTCCATTATTCACCTGACACTGTTATTTCAGATGCTATTTAAGGTCATCTTCAAAGATGGCTGCTGTAGCTACCTAGGCATGGAAACTTGAACGTGATGATCCTTTTAAAAAGAACTCTAAGTAACCACAAAACTGGTAAGCAGATAGCACCAACACCTTTTTGTATCCTTCTCACTTGGAGACAACGGATGACTAGCATCTAGTGAAACTGGAATAGCACAAAACAAACCTTTGGCCTTGCACACCGAGAGATGCAGACTTTATTAAGTGCTTGTTGTCATCCTTAGCTGGGATTTAAGGGGACCCGGAGCATCCTTACCTTACACACAAACAGTCTCAAAGAAGCAAACACGTGTTTCAGGGCTGTTGCTGACTGGTTGACTTGAAATAACAGCATGTAAGTATCAAAGACCCTTTTCATGAGTGAGTTTTGACAGTCAGATTGTTGGAGCTGTCTCTGAAATCCAGAAGAGATGTTATTTAGGATAAGTGGAGGAATGATTTCTTTCCTTCAGAAACATCTCTTATGAACCTGCCATGTGCTAGAAGAAACTCCTGAGTAAGAAGATATGGTTCACGTGTCATCTCAGGGAAGTTTACACAGCATCGCCAAAGCCAAACCCAACCCATTCCATATAAGACAATAACTACAGCAAGAAGGTGTGGCAGGAAGAGGTTAGGGGTGGATTACTTTGCTTAAGAGGTCAATGAAGATCCCTTAGATTGATGAACAGAGCTGGAGGAATGTGCCACAGAGAGACCTGGGAGGATTTTCATGGGGTAAGAGTCTGGGGATGGAGCCAAGCTTGTGAATTCAGACTGAGAAAGAAGAATGGAGTGGCTGGTGTGTGGCTAGGGGGTCGGGCCGTGGGGGAGAGGATGAGGTGGAAGGTAGGCATTGAGAAAGCCTTTCAGCTGTGTGATATTCAATTCATATGTCCATTGAGGTATAAAGAGTTAAAACGGGGTTGTGTTTTTCTCCCACCATAATGGCACTTTACATAAAAACAATGTTTTCTTGGTGCAATGCTGCTAGAGAGGGTTTTTTTTTTTGATCCAGTCTTTCCTGGTACAGTCCTTAAAGAAGGTTCATTTGACTGAACTGTAAATGTTTTTAATCACATTATTAAGATACAATTGGGGCGAGAAACTCTGCATCCAGAAAGTACAATTGCATAATGAAATCATCACCACAGCCAAGAAACAAAATATCACTTCCTAAGGTTTAGTACACGTTTTAGAGTCCTGTATTCCCTTCTCAACTCCACATCTCCAGTCCATCATTGATGTGTTCTTTCTATTTGATGATGTCAACAACACTGCAGTCTTCTCTGATTTGGCTTCTGAAACTTCATGTGTGCTGTAGCCTTTTAGGTGCTTCTTACTGTTGAGTAATATCCTATTGTGTTGCTAAAACGCCTACCTGTTGATGCCCATGTCTGGTTGCATCTGTTTGTTTCTGTTATTTAAAATAAAGATGTGGCATATATTTGTGTGCAAAACTTTATATGGATAGGTGCTACTATTCAAATGCTTGGTTACAGGATAGATAAATGATTAACATTGAAAAATAATTTTGTTTTTATTTATGTATATGTGTGTGGATGTGAGCATGACTTTGTGCAAGTATGTGTTTGTGTGTGGGGGTCATATGTCTGAAAGTATGTATTAGGATAGAAGATGGCGTGAGAGTCCCTGGAACTCATATTATAGGTAGTTGTGAGTTCCAATATGGGTGCTGGGAACTGAACTTTATTCTCAACAACTAAGCTATCTCTCTAGCTCCATAATTAGCTTTTAAAAAGAAGCCATCATAATGTTTTCCAAATTATCTTTTCCGCACTTGAACTCTTACTATCAGTGAATGAGAATTATCGTTTCTCTAAGCACTTGTCAAAACGTGATATAGCTAGTCTTATTAGCATTAGAAATTTTATCAAGTACATCATGGCAACACCGCAACGAAGTTTAATATATAAAAATAAGAAAAGATGCTTGGCATTAACAATTTCTTCTTTCACAAATCTAGTCATCAGTTAATACACAGCACTGTTGGTCTTTTGGTTTTCCCTTAGAAAATGTGGCGTCTCATTGCCACTCTGTGCAGCATCCTTGACAGCACAGCAAGAGGACTTGGGAAGAAAGATACTATTGTAGTAGTAAAACACAACACAAAGTGTGGGGATTAAGCCAGCATTAGTCAACTTGTGACAAAAATCTGAGAATCTCATTTTTAACATGCTTCCCATTAATGTGTAAGCTGATTTATGTGAGGTCAAATGATTTCATAAATCATCTTAAAAAATATTCCTGACTTCTCATGGTTTTTCCTACTTCCAAAGTCATCATTTTGCAAAAAATGTTCTGACCATACTTACCTGGTGGACTTGAGTGAAGAGAGACAGCAGGTCCAGGATAGTCAGGCAAACTTCTGTGGCTATATTGGCCTCGGTGTCTACATGGTGGACAATGTCTATTTCATTGGAGTTGCCTACAAAATGCAAAATAAAACAGTGCATCAACATATAAGCCAATTCTCTTTGCTCAGTAGAATATTTTCTTCTATTGCAGTGTTTACTGGTATTTTGATGAATAATTCATAAAATCAAAGTGTCTTTTTCACCTTTATTTATTTTAATTAAAAGCAAAACAAAACATTAGATAGAGTCTTAGATCTGAGTGTTCTTTGTATACATCAGTTGCAGATTTTCCATTATTTTAAAAATTATTTTTCTTCAATTCAGACATCAGTACAATCATATTTCTTCTGGAATCAGCCTGCTTAAAGTTCTTGCTTTTGGGCTAACAGACTAACATGTGTGATCTCAGCGGACAGTCTACACAAACAGACTCCTCAGAAAGGTACATTTATTTATAAAGTGTACTTAGAGAGTAAGGCAATATAGATTTGAAACAAGTAATCAGCGGCCACACACTCATAATTCCCATGTTTCACTACGCCAGGGTCTATTTTTATGTTATTGCCAAGCTAGACTGTGTGCTTCTCCAGAGTCATGATGTCATTGTCACTGCTTTTGGGACATGGACATTTTTGTCCTCTTCCCGTAGGGTCAGCAGTAATTACCTGACTGAGAGATAGCCCTAACCTCACAACACCAAAAGTACCCAGACAAGCCACCCACAGCCCATTACACTGAGCTTCAAGTGAAATTCTTCTTTCTTCCCAGTGAGGGCACTGTTTTTTATTTGTTGGCTTGTTTATTTATTTATCAAGCTACCCCTGTGATTCTTTGTAGACGTATTTCCAGATCCATGGCAGACATCAGAAGAGTGACTTCAGTGGTGTGATATTTCTCCCATCTCACACACAATGCATTTCCTGTCCTGCACACAGGCTGACAGAACCCATTACCCCTGGCTTACTTACTGTTCATGGTGTTGTCCAACATCTGTAAAAGTTTGGGGTTGGAAAGTGCATTTTTGCCTCGAATTATAGGTAATGTTTGAGATCTGTGCTGTTTATGTCCTTCGTGACCAGAAGTGGTATGCATCCTGGAACAGAGATGGGAAATGTGGCTGACACTACCCACCAAAGCAGTAATCAATATTGATTCAAATAGTGTGCACTGGGACAAACACAGACACCTCTGTGGAGAGGCTTTTTACTGGCAATATTGACTGCAAGCAGGACAACGAAGGGACCTTTAAATACATGAGAAGAAATGTATTTAAGCACTAACACTATTAAGAAAGATATATAATGTGATAATGCCACAGTGGATGTCCTTTCTAGCATATTTTGATTTTCTTCTTTTTTATTACCAAGAATGTTGTTAAATAGACTCAGTCGAAAACTCTTGTCAACCTTGTTGTCACTAACTTCATTGTATGCTCAGACAACCATAATTGTACACAAGTTTTAGGTAGATAGTACCTCAAACTGGCCTCATCCATTTGCTTTTAAGCAAATAAGGTCATGTCTATTTTGTAAGTAAAGAGGTAGCTACAGATGTGTTAACCTCACCAAAGCAAGCACACAGAACAAAACAAAACCCAAAACCTAAAAGACACTCAAAATGTTTGTAACTCATTATTATTTCATGGATTTATAAGAATTTAAGAATGCTGAGTTAACTACTACCTAGGCAGGAAGGCAATTAAAAATACACGCTAACATGTCCCCTTGGGCCTTGTTTTTTAGAAGCAAAGATAAAATCTGGATTGAAATAACTGAAGTAATCCTTAACTCTCTCGTCTGGTTTTGCATGTGGGAATTCTTAGGCAGTATGATTTATTTGGGTCATGCCTCTTGCGGTGGTGATGTAGGTGACGTAGGTGGTGTGTAGGAACGTCACATTTGAGGTTCTAGGTGCTCATCTGAGATGGCAATGACAACAGGCCTTCAGTGTGCATCTTTCAGTGCTCTGCAGCATGCCCGCCTGCAGAAACCAGCCAGTGCATTTGTGCCGTTAGGAATGCTTCCCGCTTGCCACATTTGTCCAAGGAGTAGCCAGGTGGTGGGAAATTTGCTGCCGTGTAAATTACCCATAAACAACACCTTTGTGAATGAAGAAGGCAGCCAATGAGAGAAGCCTTTAAGAAACACACCTCAGAAGGAACTCTGGCTTTTGTCTTTGTCACTGTATTCAAGGCTGTTTGAAAGTGGCTGAGCCAAAGGATCATCCTGGGTTGAAACCTAGGAGAGCTGACTTTGGCTTGCTGGAACTTAGGACATCTGGATCTTGCCTGCATCTACAGGGAGTAATGAGTTTTGGGACATACGGCTGGGACACGGGGAGACTGATCTTTTTCTCCCATGGAGTGGGGAGGGGGTATAGTGGTGGAGTAGGGTTTGTGTGTGTGGGGAAATCCCTGGTTTCCAGGGGATGAGGCCAGCAGGGGCAGAGCCTGTCCAGGCTACAGGAAGAGCCTTAAGACTTGTCCACAATACATGATTGACTATGGGGCCCTTAGGTGACTGCAATTGCCATGAAACAACCTCAGATCGGATGGCCACCAGCCAAGCAGGAATTGAACTTGGGACCTTTGGATTTCAGGACAATCGGGCAATGAGCTCTTAACCGCTGCGCCATCTCTCCGGCTGGTTGCGAAGCTTTTCTTTATTGTCTTCTCTTCCATTACAGTTTGTAAGGCAGACTCATGATTGCATCTTTTAAATTTACTTTCTCACTGGAGGCCAATTTCTATAGGTCTCCATGGACGGGAGCAAAATTTATTTTGCTATTTATTGACTACATCCATTTTCCTATTTCTTCCTAAAGCTCTTTTTTAAGATATCCACATCACACAGTCTTACGATGCACCTGGGAAAAATAAGTTAAACTCAGGAAAGTTTGGGAAAACAATTTTTAATTGTTAGGCCCACAGGATCTTGGAGGTGGGATTTCAGGGCAGGAGATTCTGACTGGCAGGTTAATGAGGGAGCAAGCAGGCTCTGCATGTAGGAACTAGGAAAGCTAACGAGATTTGTGAGCTCACCCATGTTTCCTAGTGGCCTCTGACCCTTTAACAAACAATGTGCGCTTCAAGAACACTAAGGGAATCTTATAATTACTCAACAGAATTGGGAGTCACGAACCCGGACTTTCTTTTTCCTACAGTGCTAAGAACTAAGGGAGCATTTTATTGGAGTCTTGGTTTTCGCTGAATTGAAATGTCTGTTAGTGCTTTTCCAATCAGGGCGTGCTTTAACTGAGCATAAACAAAGCATAGTCCTTAGTTTTTGTTTTAAGCCAGTGATGCAGCTGGAGAAGTATCTAAGAAGTTTCTTCAGATAAACGTATAATGCTACTCAAACTGCATTTGCTTTGCTATATGTGCACGTATGAGTCTATTTACCCTGGTGCATGCATGTTCACAAATAAACAACACATACATGACTTTAAATTCTAAGCAAAGGTGATATTACCATTGTGACAAGAGACCCGAGTTCTGGCAGGAAGGGTTGGACCCTTTCAGAGTTCCATTGTTCTGGGCAGACTGCACAAACTTAAACGCCGCAGCGATCTTTCTGCAAGGGACACACATTTCAATCACAGCTCAGCATTTATAATTTATATATAAAAACAGAGTGACAAATGACTAGCAATTATTTAATAATAAGGTATTTCATATTCTGTGTATTAATGAAAAGCAAGGGGCTGGGAGATGGCTCAATTTGGCCAAGTGCTTGCTTGCTATGAAAGAAAGCATGGGGATCTGCTTTCTGAACTTCAGCACTTATGTAAATGCCCAGCAGGCATGGAAGGCCATCTGCAATCACAGTTTCAAGATGGAGAGACTGGGGACCCACAGGCAAGATGGCTAGCTAGCTATGACAATCATAGGGTGAACTCTGGTTTCAGTGAAGGGACCTTGACTCGGTACTTCTGGTGGACAGATATTGAGGAGGACATCTGATGTCAGCTTCTGATTGGATCCAAACACACAGCCCGGCAGCACATGCATAAGCAAGTTCTGGGACTAGGAAATCAGAGGGCTTTGAGTGTTCCTCGTGACAAATGATGCCAGTATGAAGTAATTCTAGACAAACTTTTGTTTTTAGCTTACTGGAGGCATATTCTTCAATAGCTGTGTTTCACCCATATAACCTTATTTGTCTGTCTGTCTGTCTTACTGGAGGCATATTCTTAAATAGATGTGTTTTACCCATATAAACCTGTCTGTCTATCTATCTATCTATCTATCTATCTATCTATCTATCTATCTATCAATCATCTATCTATCTATCTATCTATCTATCTATCTATCTATCTACCATCTATCAATCTATGTATCTGTCTATCATCTATCTATCTATGTATCTGTCTATCGATGTATCTATGTATCTATCATCTACCTATATCTATCAATCCATGTCATCTATGTAATGAAGCTCCTCCTCTCCCTGTGTTTGCGTGCGTGAACACACCTTCTGGAGGTCAGAGGACAACCTCAGTTGTCACCTTCTTCCTTGTTTAAGACAGAATTTCTTGTTCACCACTGTGCATGCTAGACTATCTGACCTGAGAGCATCCTGCAGGAAGGAAATTCTCACAGGAGCCCTGTGATTAGAGACCCATGCTGGTCTACGGCTTTCTGTGAGTTCTGGGGAGCCAAATTCAGGTCTTCATTCTTGCATGGCAAGTACTTCACTCACTGAGCCATATTCAAAGCTCCATGAATTTTTTAAAGTCTGTATTAGTCTATTGTAATTTAAAACAATTACCTTATTATATTGCGTTTTCCCAGGTATCTAAAATTTTGAAGACAAACACTAGAAAAGGGAAAAAGTCACATTCTAATTATTCACATTCTTGGATTTATACATAGCAATTCATCTAAATATACAGAAAGAAAACTAGTAAATTTTCTTTACATATTCTATATACTATTGTTGATATTTATTTACCATAGGGCTTCTTTGAATGAAGAGTGGTATAGTGAGCTATTTTGTAAGTTCCAGAAAATAAGTTATTGGATCAACCGTAAACTTACTCCAAGATGCTGAAGAAGTCTGACACCTCTGGACTGGGAGCTCTCTGCCAGTAGGCAATCAGAGTCTCTAGAAAGAAACAACATGACATGAGACTCTTAGAAACATAGGTTTTTCTCTTTTGCTCCTTTTAAATTGACTTGAAGTCATTCGCTTACCAACTGAAATTGTCTTCATAATATGCAGGAAACACATAAGAAGACTCCTGGTTTCTGCTTGATCTAATTTGTCAAATCGAAGAGTTGACCCAATCAAAGATAAGGGTCTTGGGATCTGGGAATCAAAAGACCATTAGAGATGAGTAAGGCTGAGAGCATCCTGGCTTGTGATGAAGGCATCCGACGGCTAGGTGGGGCGGGGAGCGGCACCTTTTCACAATTGTCTGTCTTCTCGCTGCTCTTCTCTGTGGTGCTGGGGTTGGATTCGAGACTCGCTAAGGATGCTCTGGAATCTGCATGGTTCACTGTAGAAATAGCTATTGATGAAAATGCTGTAAACACAAGCCACAGCACACATATGGTGATGAGACACATGAGCACAAACAAGAACTACAATGATGGAGCAGAGTTGCTCATTGTTGAAGCAGAAACAGAATTGCAAAATAGAATCTGGGGGCGACATGGAAGCCATACGACATTTAAAACATTACAACAGTGGCCATGCTGGATCTAAAAAAAGTTGAAAGCATTTTAAGTGGATATAAAGTTTGTTCTTTTGATCTCTTACAATGCTTTTAAAAACTAGATGAAGATAACTCTGACTTTAACAGAAGATGATTCAGGGGAAGGAGTGTTTAACTTGACAGTTAATGAGAAATAAGAATGACATTTCCAAAATAGTTCTTAATACAATCTTTGAAGCTGAAGAGCTATTATATTTTAAGAGGCTATGCATAACAAAAAGCTAAAGTCTGTTTGAAGAATGAAGTAATTTGATAACATCTGAGTGGACAGCTCTTTAAGCCAAGTAGAAGTGGAAGTCACTGGACGATGTTCTAAGAAATATGTTAAAGACTCTAGTTCTATAATGTGGTGTGCTTTGCTGGGTACATTATGCATATGAATTATGGATAGAAAGCACCATGATATACAATGTAAACATCGATGAGTGTTATACACGAGTGTTCTCAACAGGCCTTGAGTACCTGCTATGGAATTTAAAACGTCTTTGGAGAACGATGTATCCACAGAAGTTGCATGCTTCATGGACGTCTGGGTTTGGAATCCTCCGTTAGTGCTTAGATCATCTCTAGACCCCTGAGTTCAAAGTGGAGAAGAGAAGAATGAGAATTAGGGTGCTTTGGAATGGTAGGCCCACATGCCTTTTCCATCCCTCTCCATCAGACAGGCAGAATGACGTTTTAGACTGGAGCAAAGACGTTTCACTGAAGTTGGCAGTGAAAATGAATATTGCCAAAAGCATCGCCTTGCTCTCAATTTGCTTTCTTAAACAATGTCTTCAAGTTTTTATTCTTTTCCAACTAGGTCCTCGTCACACTTCTATGTCTTTTGTTTTGTTTTTGTTTCTGCTTTGTGATCCATGGGGTTTGGCAAGTTACTTGAATAGGCCCGGGCTAGCACTGGAGCATGAGTAACTCAATAGTGGCTACATCACTGAAGTCAGCCTGTTTCTCCAGCAGCCCTCCGCTGCCGTTAGCTCCCCAGGGTGAGTGAGGTTCATGATGGTCCCCTCCCCATCTATGACTGGATATTTACTGGCACAGTCTTATGTTGGCTCTGTGTAGGAAATCACAGCTGTTGTGAGTTCCTGAGTTTAGAAACCATGTCATATGACAGCATTTCCCAGGCTCCCCCATTCTGGTCAATTTTAAAGTGAGGTAGCAAAGATAATTACTGAACAGCAATTGGAATAATTATTGAAATAATTGCTGATATAGTGATGTATTAAATTACAGATGTAATTACCATCATATAATGGATATTAATATGGCTAGGAACTAGATTTGAAGTCCCTATGTAAATGTTTTCTGTTACACAGTTTGATGTTAAGGATCCTATTGCACTAGGCCCTTTATCCCAGTTTTCATATTTGTTTCCCAGAGGCCTGGAGAGCTTGGCTAACTTTCTGAAGGCTATAAACATGTTACTTGATGCTGATGAGACTTGATCAAGATTCCTCAAACAAAAATCTTTCTAAGGGCACGACCCCAACTTTCAGTAGGTCCCATCTTGGACTGTTACTTGCTTATAACACCTCACTTTTGTGAGGCAAGGTCTCTCAATGAACCTGGAGCATAAAAGTCTGCTACAGTTCCCAGCCAGTGAACTCTAGGGAATTTCCTGTCTACCTTCTCAGGCCTGAGATCATCAATCATGCCACAGCGTTCAGCCATTTATGGAGGTGTTGGGGGTCAAAGTCAGTTCCTCATGCTTGCACTGTGTATGAACCCTTAAATAGCACTCACAACTGGCTACATTGGGGCTTGGACTATGTAAGACCCTTAGCATCTGTGTGGGAAGTAGTAGGTGAGTGATGTACATTGGATGTAAGGTCATGAAGACATCATAGAAGCTGCAAAAGCTGTGAAGACTTGGGTAGTAATGCAGAAAATAAAGGGACTAAAAGCAGTCCTGAAGAGAGGGCTGGGCCAGATAGAAGCCTCAAGTAGCCATTAGGGATGAATAGTATTGATGTGAATTCTTATCAGATGGTGTGGCTTAACCCTTAGCTTGCTTACAGGCAGGAAAAAATGGTTTTCCAGGACTTAAATACAAATAAGAGAAGTTCCTTTAAAGAAAGTAATTTGGAAAAATGTGCAAACATACCTGATTGGATGTATTCACAGTGAAAGGATACAGGTCCTTCAGGTAGATTCTCGGCATATTGTCCAGCAGCATGCCATACAGGGGCATGTAGAGACTCGCTATCTGTGCCTGCTTCCTCTAGGAGAGGGCAGACAAGAGAAATGATTCACAGGAAAATCAATAGACTCAAGGGGTTTATATTCATTTAATGCAGCTAGCCATTAAATGGCATTTGGGGGAGAGAGAAAGAAAGGCTACTTACAGGTTCTCTGTATCGATCATCGAAAGAATGCTTAGCCATTAGATTTTTTAGGACAGCTAAAGCTAAGTGCCTGATATCTTGGTCCTCCTGCAGGGCAAAGCCGACTTCCCGGAGCAGAATTCCGATTAAGAAGTGTTTGCGGCAAAATTCATTTGTGACTGAGTATTCAGGCATATCTTTGAGAGAAAAAAATGATGTTATTGAAAACCAAATAACCACTTTACAATTACAAAAAGGCAAATTGGACCATTACTAAAAATCCTGCCCCCAAGCAAGAGGGATTCCACACCACAGTCTTGCCACAGAGATGTGGTCTGTTGTGGCCTTGGGAGTATCTAGTCAGAAGGGAAAATGTTCGCTTACATAAACACAGGCTCAAACACTAACACACCATGGCAATAGACACAGCCTATCAAATGCCCTGCTCACACCACTGCAGGGGCTAAAATAAAAACATGCTTTGTGTCTGTAGGAATTGAGAGAGCTCCTAGGAAAAAGATGGCCACACCGAGCTCAACCTTGGAGGTTGCTATGGAAGACCCTGGGAGAAGAGTAAGGTTTACTTTCAATGACACACAGTTCTGAAATACAGACAGGTATGTGGGGACAGACATGTGTGAAGGGCTAGGAAATACAGTGTCTGATGAGGAGGCATGGGGATTGAGGTTTGAGATATTGGGTGTAGATGCTTGAGAAGCCCAAGGACAAATTCAGTATCCAGCACTTAGGTCTGCCTTTAACTCCAATTCCAGGGGATCCAAAGTTTTCGTTTAGCTTCTGCAGACACCAGACACTCAGGTGGTGCACACATATATACATAATGCAAATATTCTTAACACATAAAATATAAATCATATATACAAGTTAGTGGCAAAGCAAACAAAACAATACCCCAAGCCCAAATAATCAGATTCAAAAAGATGGTAAAGAACTCGAATAAGCAGTTTTATTGGGAGGACATCACAATTCCCAATAAGAGTATGAAAAAAGTGTTTAATACCACTGATAACCAAGAAAGCACCAGAGTCCCAATGAGCTATCAGCTCATTCCTGTCACAGTGGCTGCTATCAGACAAACACCTGATGATGACTGATAGGGACAGAGTGGAGAGCAGGAACCAGTACACTGTCCATGTGGGCTTGTATATTGGTACAGACAATGTGGGAAACAGAATGGGGATTCTTCAGATGAGTAAGGCATAACTCCTGCATCACTTACTAATGCAACTTGGGAATATATACCCATAGGAACTGAAATCAAAAACACTTTTTCTTTTTTAATCAATACATAAAAACCATAAAATTTCTTCAGGTGCACGAGGCAGCACATATGGTTTACATACGTACACACAGTGTCATATAATGTTTAAATAGGCTAAACATATCTATCTCTGAAGTATTTGTCATTCTTCTATCATGAGAACATTTAAAGTCCTTTCTTCTTGATTTTTGAAATGCACAGTACATTGCCATTGCCCACAGTTCCTCTACCGTGTGAGAGCTACCAGAACTTCTAACTTTTACTGAACTGGAACTTGCGATATTTTGATCAACCTTTCCCCCTTCTTCCCTTCCATACTTCCCGAGCCTCTCAAAACTACCACTGTTTTTAGAATTACATATAAGTGAGATCAAGTGTCACTGTTCCTTATTTCCTGCTCACTTATCTCACTAAAATGAGATCGAGTTCCATCCACTATGCCTCAAATGACAAGATCTCATTTTCAATGGGTAAACAGTAATCCGCCTTGCAAGATACGTTTGTTTATTAGCAGCTGAAGCTCTAGGCTGTTTCCACTTCCTGCCTCCTGTGAGTAGCGCTTCAGTGACCGTGGAAATGCTGCCTTCTCCAGGACATGGCAATCAGACCTTTGCTTAGTTACCCTGCAGCGGGACTGCTGGATCATACAGTAGCTCTGAATCTATTTATTTATTTTGAGGAGCCTCCAAACTGTTTTCACATACGGCGTTACCAATTTACATCCCCACCGTGAGCATGCAAGGGTTCTCTTTTCTTTATATATCTTGTCAGCATCGGCCATTTTAGACTTTTTATATAAAACCAATATCTTAAATATCTGAAACCCCATATTTGCTGGAATTTTATATCAAAGATAGGAAATGTTGTGTTTTTTTGCAAATAGTAGAAGAAACTTTGGGACGTGAAAACGAAAATGCAGATTCTTCAGGATCTCATCTGTGGATGTGAAAAAGTGGAGCTCTTGGAAGCCTGCTAGAGAAGCAGATTCTAGGGACTGGGGAGAGGGCAGAAACTCTCAGTGACAGAATGAATACGTTATGAGAGCAAGTATGTGGCAGGGAAACTGTAGATAGTAATAATGCCTTGTCCAAGCCATATAGGCCAAGGTGTAAGGAACAAATATGGACATCCGGGAACTTTATCCTCTGTACATATGAGGACAATTTCAGATGACTTGGGAAATTCAAACTTTGCGACACTTGGAGGATAAAATATAAAAGAACTAAAGGACAGGTATTAAATTCTATGTGACAAGAGGAAAGTTCAGATAGGTGTTTGGATTTGTTGGTTATATGTTAACATATACGTGTTCAGAGAGTCTGTGCTCGTTGACATGAAGATATGGCTCTGCTGTGTATGCAGTTAACATGAAATATGACTATTTACCTGAGGCATGTAACTCTTGAATTGATTCCGTAGGGGTCAGAGGATCTAGATTTGGAGTGAAGAGAGAATAATTTCAGACACACGCATACATCCATTAACTAGTTTAACTTACAATAGAAATTTAAAACATATTTTAAATTATTTGCTATTATATCACCATTTTTCAAGAAAAGTTAGGTTGTATGTCCCACCCATCCCAAAAAGAATCTCATGAACAAAATTGTTTTAATTCATTGCCTTGTATTTGAGAGCCAGGTTTTTGAACCAAAAATCTGCCCACTATAAAATATATAGCAGTTTATCAGGCAGGACCTTTTCTGGTTTTTTGATTGAGAATGAATAGATGGACTCAAAATGTTAAAGGTTTGATCTCCTGAATACCTTAGCCAACATATCTAGCCAAGAATAATGTGGTATTAACTT